TGGACTGGGAGGTGCTCTCAGGTCCCTGTCGGGTGTTCAGGGTAAGAGCTGCTTGGGGATGGGCCTGTGCAGGGCTGAGGGTTGGACTCCAGGATCCTTGTGGGTCCTTTCCAACTCAGCATATTCTGGAATTCTCTGATGTGGGTGCTGGGCTCCCAGAACACCTGGATCACCCTCTGGTGCCTCTCCTGCTGCCTCAGCCACAGTTCCCAAATCCCTGATGCTCTCCTTGGACAGGGGCTGCAACCAGGGCTTTGCAAACACTTGAATATGGCCAAGAATAGCCTAAATATGGTCACTAACCAGTTCTCCAAGTGTTTGTGCATCCCAGTTCCTGCATTCCAATACCCCCTTCCCGAGGTGGGTGGTAGCAGTGCCCTGGGAGGTCCCAGGGGAGCTGGACTGTCCCGGGTCACTCAGATAAGGGCAGCACTGCCGGGGCAGATGACAGATAACATCCCTGTTCCTTTGTGTGGTGTGGCCAGGGGCATAATTAGGATGTTATTGCCAAACAGGAGGAAGCCCTGACTGTGCCAATAACGTACCACAGGAAACAGGAAATCTAAACCGGAGGGGCTGGACAACATGGAAAATATTTCTAATAATTAACTAAAAAGTGGGGCATTCCAGTGAGCAGTCTTCAGGTGTGGCACACTGGACAGAGATCCCATCAGCATCCTGAGGTGATAATGATGGAGCAGCACCCCAGGCACGCTCCAGCTGTTTGTTATCCCACCGTGGTGAACTACACTGGGAGCACCGGGGGGACACTTTTCCTGTAAGATGAAAAGCTGGGACCACACCAGTGCATCCAGCTGGTCAACATCTTTGCCTCTTCCACATCACCAGCCCAGTGCTGGTGACCTTAAAACTTTATGCCTTTGCCAATGAGGGATTCAATTAGAGAAGTTATTGATGGTATTTATTTCAGAATCACAGAATATTCTGAGTTGGAAGGGACCTACAAGGATCATCGAGTCCAGCTCATAAGTGAATGGCCCTTACAGGGATCAAACCCACAACTTTGGCCTGCTCTAATCTCATTTATTTGAGTCCAAATCCTTGTGGGTATTTGCACACCCTGCAAAATCCTTTGATAAAATAGTTGCAATAGCTGATGTCTGCTCAGAAGGAGCCCTGGAAAGAGCAGCTTGGCAGAGGGGACTTGAGGATTAGCAATTGGAATGTTCTCTTACCTTGGATCCCTGGGATTCCTGCTGGGCTTGTCTTGGCTGGAAGTATGGTGTTAAAAAATTCTCATTCCCATTTTTCTGCCCCCTCTGGGGCGGATTGCTCTGCCCTGCAGTGGGAATTGCTCTGCCCTGCAGTGAGAGTTACTCTGCCCTGCAGTGGGGGGATGCAGCAGTGGAACTCCACTACCTGTAGTTTCAGGAGTTCTGACATCCTTCTGGTCCCAGTTACTGCACAGCAAGAGATAAATTCCTGTGCAAACCACATGTCACTTGCTGAACATGCTGTTTTTAAACATGAGATTCATGTGAAACTGCGTAGGAGTAGTTCTGCAAAGAGTATTCCAGAGTTACTTTTTAAAAAGTGCTGAAAGATCCATTAGAAAGAGGAGACTTGTGTTGCACGTTCCGTGTTCCACCGAGCTGGGAAGCTCAGGGTAATAAAGCTGCTCCTTATTGGCGTTACAGCTAATTGTGTGTAATTACTCATTAACACAGCTCTGCACTGCCGAGCACTCTGCTCACATGGCTGGGTACAAATCAGTTAGTGACGGCACTCCAGGCATTCTGAGCAAGAACAGGGAAAAAAGCAAGGAAACAACCCAGTCTTCTGACTAAGTCCCAGAATTATCAGCCAGCACCAAACTGCTGCCAAGCTGGTATTTACCTGCAGTGTTTGGGGGAGTTCCCCCTGTCACTGCCCCCCTCCAGGTGGGTTTGCAGGTCCTTTGTGCTGTGTTTGGTTCGCAGTTTCTTTCTCAGCTGTCAGGTTTTTGTGGTCCGTGACTGTTCTCCCTGTAATGGTGTCGGAGGGAGCGTTGCTGAGTTCGAGCCTTGCATGAGGGTAAATCTGGGTGTCTGTTGATCTGGGAGATCTTGGCAGCTCTCCCAGACTCATCATCTCGATGCCTGCAGGTTCTTCAGCACTGTGTGTGCATCACTTAAGTAAAAGATGGATCCATTTCATTATAGGGGAAGACAAATACACGAGTGTGTGGGATGGCTTTTAGATCAGCAGATGAATTTAAAAAATACTCCACTGTAACCAAATGGAACGATTTTTAAAGATGGGTAAGGTGCACATTTTGCACGAAAAACGTGTAATTTGAAGCAGATCACCTGACAATATTGCCAAGATAGGTAAGAGAAAATAAAGTCTGAATGTGAGGTGGGAGATGACGTGGTTGGCATGTCAAGCTCTGAAAAGCCACAACTGTCCTGAGGAACTGTCTGGTGGTGTTCTCTGGGATTTGTTCTTTTTAAGTTCATACAGTAGAAATGCATCTCCTGCAGCCTTCTGGAGTCAAAATGAGCAACTGCAGTGGTGCCTTAAGGAATTTGTTGTGCTGGAGTATCTTTCTTATTAAAACCAGAGGGGCTTTGTATGTGAAGCATTGGTAACAAATGTGTGAAGGCATCAAAGATCCTGCCAGGATGGATCAGGAGATGGTGCTTCAGAGGGTGTTTGGCTGATGCAGCTGGAAAACACTAGTTTGTTTTTATAACAGAACAGCTTCCCTACAGATTATTCCTCAAACTCTTTCATGGGTTTAAATTATATTATGAATGTAATTAGTTAATAGAAGGGTGGGAAATTAAAGCTGTCTGCAGGGGAAATGTAGTCAATTGAAGTATAAAGTGAACAGGAATTTGGAATTTGAAGTGAAGTGGAAGTCAGTCAAGAAGGACAATGTGGAAAACAATGGGCACCAGGAGGGTTCTGCAGAGTTCCTTGTTCCTCTGTGGAAAGTGTGCAAGGAGTGATGGCTGGGGCAGGGAGGAGGTCTCCAGTCCAAGGGAATATTAACATGGGCTGGGACTTAAACACAGGAGGAGCTTGGCTGATGTAACCAGGACCACATCTGTGGTCCTGGATTGGCACTGGAACTGTTGTTCAGGAGCAGGGATGGTTGTTGGAAGATCCCCTGCCCTTCACTCAGGGCTCTACTGAGTGATCTGCACCAGCAAGGGGAGCCCTGGGGGAATGGGGCTCTGGCCAAGTCCAGAAGAGCTAAATGTGGTGCATTTCTGCAGGAAATCTAATTATGGAACATAAAAATAGGGGGTTTTAGATAAAAATAGATTTTGCAATGAATGTGAAATTAATGGTGTCTATTGATCGGGAGGGGCTGCTGGAGAATACTTAATTGGGATCTTTAGCTATTAGAGTGTGGGAAGGATAATTAAGAAGATACCCTTGAGTGTGTCTCTGTGTGATCCGGATTTTAAATACCAAAATCTGTGTGTTCCTGGCTCTGGGCTCTGTCTGAGCTCTGCCTGTGGACTGTGGTTGTGTGGTGCAAATCTGATAAAAACCAAGGGTTTGTTCTTAGGTTGTTGTCAGGAGTTGCCTAAGAAATAGAAGAGGAAAAATGAGAGTCCTGCCAATTCCAGACCTACGTGTGAGCTGATGCTTGGTTTGACAAGGGGTTTTTGACAGTTTAAAATCAGGTTTTTGTTGATGGAAGACTCGTGAGTGTGTCTGCCTGAAGGTTGGGTCGTTCAGACAATGTTTTCTCCTTTAGTCAGGTTGTTTGTGAGGTTTTCTCCTTGTGTATCAAGACACAAGTCCACATGTTCTGGTGGAGATGCTGCAGCTCTCAGCAACAGCTCTGCTGGAAAACCAGAGCCATTTTAGTTAGTTCCCATAATTAATAAGTGAATAGATGTATTTGGCAGCGTGGATTCCCGTGTGGAAAAAGTCATCAGGTGGCTTAAGCTTGATAAATAGTTAAAAATCCATAAAAACTCAGGGTATCCTGAGCTTTGGGGTTTTGTTACTAATTGTGCTGCTTGTAATACTTGGTGGTAATTGGGGTCCAGCTGCTCAGAGTATCAGTGTTAGATTTACTGGATGGATTGCTTTAATAGGATTTGGAGAGCAGCTCTTGGTACAGTGCAGCTTGTGCTGTCAACTCCCAACCTTTTAATGCAGTAATCCCTGGGATTTATCCTGGCTTGGAGTAGCAGCACAGGAACACGACGTGATTTAGGCTGAGAAGTTTGGAGATGGTGGGAATAATCCGTAGCCAGAGCTGTTTATGTTGTTAGTGTTGCTGTAAAGGATGGAAGAGGTGTTATGGGAGTGCTGGTGGCAGGAAAGCAGCACCCTTGGTGAAAGGCTGTGGGTGCAGTGCCCTGGGATTGTCACTGCTCTGGGCAGGGGCAGAACCCACCCACTCCAGAAAGCAGCTACAGATGAAATGACTGCAGGGTTTAATTGCACAACCTGAATGAGTTTGCACTTAAAGCAATTTGGTGTGTCAGTCTGTCATTTTTTTATGATTGAGAAGAGTATAAATGAATCCTGCATGTTAATGAGCTAATGTTCAAAACTGGGACTGGGTGTATGTTTGAATAATTAATACGAGTTGGGTTTTTGCTGTTAAGGGTGTGGTATCACATGTGGTTTACAAAGCAATGACAGTATTGTTTGCTGCTGGTACGTCCTCTCCTGAGGTCGGATTTTATCCCCAGTTTCACCCTTCCCTCCCCCCTGCCACTTCATTACAATGGAGATTTGGTCTGCTTGCTCCAAGTGATGTCCTGTAATACCCCATTAGTGGTCAGTAGTTACCTCTGCCTGCATGTCAGCCTTCAGTTTAATGGCCTTTTTTGTGTGTTCATTTTCTTTTGTTTCCCATCGTGGTTTTGTTTATTTCTTTGTGTTTTTTTTTCCCCTGTTCTCTTTTTTTTTTAAACCGTGGTGATGTTTGCCCTTCATGTTCCCCAATGTTTGCACATGACAAGATGTTGCCATCCCAACATTGCCTCCCACTTCACTGACCAGTGCCACTAATGACCATCTAGCACCAGCCACAGCAGGACCCCTGCCCTCGGCCCCGCGGGACGTCGTGGCCACCCTCGTGTCCACCCGCTTCATCAGGCTCACCTGGAGGCCACCAGTGTCAGACCCTCAGGGGGACAACCTCACCTACTCCATCTTCTACACCAAGGAAGGGATCAACAGGTAAAGACTCTTCTTCACTCTGGTTTTGCTTGGAAATGTTGTAACCCGACGTGTCCAACCTGCGATGGGAGGGGTTGTGTTCCCCTCCCTCCTGCGCCCTGAGTTTTATTGGCTTTGTTGCTGCACGTAGGAATTTTTACAGGCACGGGTTGATTGACTGCAAACAGTTGCTACCTGCTTTTAGCAGCCTGTTAGAAGGTGAGAGCAGCAGAGGCTGTCACAGCTCGTCAGGAGCACTGGCACTGCTGTCAGTGCCACCTCAGTGGGCACAGGAACATCCTCCAGAAGCCACGTGCTGGTGGGAGCGACAGGCACGTGAATTCACTCTGATCCCAGGGACAGACGTGTGGTAGGTGTTGGCTGAATGCCATCGAAGGTGTTGGTTAAATGTTGATTCCCTCCTAATAATCCCTGTAAAAAGAAATTAGATTAATTACTCCCAGTCATAAGCTTTTGACATATTATCCCAGTGGATAATATTGATCTACCCCTTTCCCTTCCTGACGGGATCTACTGCTCAGCGTTACAGGTTCAAAGTGTTGAGATAAGTTGGATTGTTCAATTGTTGTGATAAGTTGGAGGAAGCTGGAGCTAACAATCATTTGGAGCAGTGCTTAATTAATTGCAAATTAGCTTATCAGATTTATTACCCAAGGGAAAGTTATCTGTCTCCTTACTGAGGAGAGCATGGGACTCAAAGTTAACAAAGTCATTGGAAGAGAACGGAAAACACACTGCTGCTAGTGGGGAATTTTTGCTCTTCCTTAATTCTGTGGATAGACATCTAGTCCAGGCTCGTGGCAATTAATTGAGGCAATTAGTAACATTTTCTTTGCTTCCCAGTTGTTGGTTTTTTACTACTTCCTTACTTTGGGAATATCCAAGTTGTTCAAGGCCAGATTGGAGCAACCTGGGCTAGTGGAAGGTGTCCCTGCCCATGGCAGGGGTGGAAACAAGATGAGCTTTCAGGTCCCTTCCAACCCAGACCCTTCCATGATTCCAAGAGGAGCATTTCAGAGTGTGGAAATGGCTGTGGAGGTGACATGTTTCTGCTTCTCTGGCTGCACAAATGTCACCAGCCGGTGCCTTGTCCCACCTTGGCTTGGTGACATCAGAGAGACTCCTGCTGAGGCAGTGATGTGGGAGTGGAGTGGTGTCTCATGGTTTTACTGTCACACCTCTGGAGGACCCCAAGTAAACTTACACAGTTACAGAGTTATTTCATCCTCATGTTAGGGATTTATTCCACCCTGGAAAGGGTGTGAAAATTGAAATGTGCTGCAGGGAGGTTGAATTCTGTGAAACTTTAGCCAAGCATTCGGGCAGAAGAACTCCAGACTTCAAGATTTGGACAAAAATAAAAGAAATAAGCAGCACGTTGCTGGTACAAGAGGGTAAATTACACGTGTGAGATACTCAAATACTGTGAAATTCACGGTTCACCGTAGTGTGCTTCAAAGGCAGAAAATGGGGTTTAATTGTGTGTAATCACACTGTCAGAACGTCTCTGGAGCTCCCTGCCAGGCTCCACAGCTGACAGGGCTGGCACAGGCAATATCCTCTTTTTAATAATTCCCTGAGCGTTGTTTTTTATGAGGAAGTGCAACTTTAAACTTGGCATTTCCAGACAAACCCGTGTTTGGGGGCTGAACTGATGGCTCTCCCCTGAGGTGCTTGATAGCTGCTGTAAACCTTAACTGGAGTTTACAGAGCTCTTTAGCTGGGACTAAACTGGACTCATAGAACAGGGGTAGTGCAGTTACTCATGGAGCCCATCTCCCTGTACCTGTTATCCCATCAGGCACAGCAGCACTTGGAAAAGGTGCTCCAGGCTCCCCAGGAAAGGGCATAAAGGAGAGATTCATGCAGCACTTAATTAGATTAATATCACCATATTTTTACCATAATGTTGTGAAGGCACATTTCTAGTTATTACTGAAAATTGCAGTACTTTGACGTGTCTATTTATTTTTGGTAAATGTAGTCTTTCTAGTAAAATAATTCTGATTTTTTTTTTTCCTTCTAATTTTAAACAATAACCTTGGTTTGCTGATTATCTTTTTTCCCCGGACAAAATCAGGGAGTGCACTTACCCTTGAGGCAGAAAATGCAATATTTTGCATGTCAGTGGGAGCTGGATGTCATTCCACAGCTGTGGATCCGTTGGCACTTAGTCTGGGCTTTCAGATCCCATCCTTGTAGCTACGGCTCATCTTAAAGGAAACTCCATCAGGGAAGGTGCTTTCAGGAAAACGTTTTGCTAGAAGTGGAAAAATTAGTGATGAAAATGAATAAAAATCTGAAATAAATTCAGCTGTTGATGCAGAGCCATTCTAACTCAGCTTCATGGAGGGGAACATTCTAGAAAATGAGTGTAAATAGATGTTTAGTTACAGTGAGTGCATTGTTTCCCTCTCTGTAGATGCAATGTAATAATGCAGAAATCAACAGGGATTTCAAAATGTTTTCAGCCAAGTTACGCTAAATCAACCGCACCGGTTGATGTAAGAAGAAATAAATTTAAAATGGGGATTTTGGCATCATATTTCCATGATAGAAACTGAAGCAGGATGGCTGGGAGGTGGGAAGGAGAGACGCTGGAATGATTCTTCCCAGGTTTCTGCATCAGAAATGCTTTAATGGGAGGTGACAATGGGACGAGAGTCATTGTCCCTGCAGAGCCAAACAGAGCCTGGCAGGCCAAAGGGGAAGGATTGAATTCCCAGCAGGCACCTTCCCCCTGATTTTCTCAATGGGAAGTTTCTGATTTCTCCTTTTGTAGCACTGCTGTTCACATTCTCAGGGAGCAGGAGCTCCTTTCCAGGGAAGGATGGACGTGTGGAGCCGTTGTTGTTGAAACGCAGCTCCAAGAGTTCAGGTGCCAGCGGCCTGTCTTGGAAATAAAGGCTGTCATTAGTTAATGATTAATGCTCTAATCTCCCCCTCCATCCTGATAAGAACTGATGGAGTTTCCTGGGCTACATTCGGGTGAGATGGTGCTTCCGCAGGGGGAAGTGTTGGGCTCCGGGAGCCCGGGGGGTCGGTGGAGGGTCACTGAAGGCCAAGCAATGACCCTTCCACTTGCCTCCATACACAACATGTGTTCTCCTGACTGGATTATGGCTTCCAGCCTGCAAAGTGTTGGCCTGACAGAGATGCCCCTTCCCATGCAAAGTGCATTATTTTCATGGGTGCTCTCAGATCAACAGGGCGCTGGTAGCCTGGATCTGCCTCCCTGCTGCTGCTGGAGGTTGGAGTATCCACTTAGGTTCAGTAGGGGCCACTTCCATGTGCACAGCACAAGTGTGAGGCACTCACAGGTCACACTGAAGGAGAGGTTGCCTCCTATTGCCTCCAGTCCTTGTATGGATCCAGTGTGGGTGCCACGGCCGTGCCCTGGGTGTCCTGAACAAATCCAGACACCAGGGAGGAACCCAGTGAAGTTTGGAGGAACAAGAACACGTTAAAACAGCTCCTTTGAAGAACACACAAAAAGCAGCCCCATGATATTAACAGAAGTGCCCCAAATCTCACCAGACTGTGCTGCTTAAATAGCTTTTCTTTTGGCTTCAGAGTTGCAGGATAAACTGTCACCGTGAATTATCACTTGCTGTTATGGGAATAGCAGAGAACTGCTGAGGGTTTGGTGCTGTCGAGTGTAATTTATTCTGTTCCTTCACTGCATTTGTTTTTTTTGCACAGAGAAGTTTGCAAAATTCGAAGCAGTGTGTCAGCAGCAGTTTTGGCACGTTCCTGTTGTGCTGTGCAGAGAGCACGGTGTAAACCAGCGCGTCACTAACACGGGGGATACGCTCGAACGGGACACGGCGACTCCTTCCTTCCCCCTCCAAACCCCTCTTACTAATCAGTGGTTGTCTCTCTGCCTAAACCTTCTGCTTCCTAAAGGGAACGCGTTGAAAATACGAGTCGTCCTGGAGAGACACAAGTGATGATCCAAAACCTGATGCCAGAGACAGTTTACGTGTTCCGAGTCGTGGCTCAGAACAGGCACGGCCCCGGGGAGAGCTCGGCTCCGCTCAAGGTGGCAACGCAGCCCGAGGGTGAGCTGGAATGGTTGGAGTTTTCCTCACTTTGGGATTGATTTTGATTTAATTTTTTTGTTTTCCCCATTCATGGCCTTTCCCAGAAGAAGTTGATGCTCTTAAAAGTTGCCCTTGCAGACCATAGTTTCCAAAGATTTTCCAGGCGGGTGGGTTTGTTGGATTTATTGCCACGATCAAGAGGAACTGATGAGGCATTCCTTGTTAAATTCTCTAAACTGTTATAAAAGTAATACTTTTAAACTGTCATTAACTTAGCTCAGTTGGTTGGAACATGGTGCTGATGACACCAAGGTCGTGGTCCTGTATGGGCCATTCACTTAAGAGTTGTACTCGATGATCCTCGTGGGTCCCTTCCAACTCAGAATATTCTGTGGCTGAAAAAGGAAGAAGGGAAAACTTTAGGCAAATGTCAAGTCTTTCACTTATTAGGGTCATTCCAGGCAAAAGGACTGGGACCCAGGGAGCAGGATCTCCTTCAGACATTTGGTCCCACCTTTCCACGGGTGAATCCATGGGTAGTGCTGAGATGGGAAAAATACCCACCTCTTCCTCATGGTGATGAACAGTGGGGTTGTCACTGCAATAACCATCCCTGGCCAGGCTCTAGAACTAGCAGAGTTCCACTCTTGTGTTCCAGTCCAACTGCCCGGCCCGGCTCCCAACATCCGTGCGTATTCCGGCTCCCCCACCTCCGTCACCGTCACCTGGGAGACGCCGCTCTCGGGCAACGGGGACATCCAGAACTACAAACTCTACTACATGGAGAAGGGGCAGGACACCGAGCAGGTACAGATACACCACCCCTAGCAGCCTGTGTGATGGGTGTACCTTGAACTCCTAGAAACACGGTGGGAAGGGTTTGGTTTTCTGACAGACTCAAACACGGAAATGTTTAAATTTAAAATTACAGTGTGAAATGTGTATGTCTTGGAATTAATTTTTTTGTGTGTGTGATGCCTTATTTTGGTGGGTTCATCAGCAGCAAGTAGTTTTTGGGGAATTCCATCATACCTCAGGAAGAGAAGGCAAATTACAGCTGTGTCATCATTTAGCAGTTCTGGTCCAGATGATAGAGAAGATGCTTGCACACTTTTATAGGCTGGTTTTTAGTAAATTAGGTAAACTATTGGGTTTAGCATGATCCTTAATCTCAGCTGTTCGTACTTCTTGAGGTCTTGGATCCAGTGATTGATATTTTGATGCTGCTGAGCATCTAATGGATTAAATTTTCTGATGATTCCCCCGAAGCATCCGATGTGTTCCGTAGAAGTTTAGGCTGCCACCTGAGAATAGTGAGGATTAATCCTCATCACAGCCCCCTTCCCATCCCATTGCATATCAGTATGATTCCAGCTTTAAAAAGCAAAGGGTAGAATACATTTTCCTTAGCCTTTAAATATTTTTTTGCATCAGTTTAAAATAGACCTGATGCCTTTTCTGCTTCTGCATCCCACTATTCCAGTTATAGTCCTAATTTTTTGCTAATGGTCAAGTTTCCAGATCCCTTTCCATGTATGGAGCCAGTGTCCAGGATTTAAACAGAACAGGGAGAATTCTCCCTTGTAAACTCACGGTTGGCACCTTCACAAGTCCTGGGGGTTCATAAGTGTGGGTTTGATCTGCAGGTGCTGCTCCGAGGGTTCCCGTGTGTTTCACGGGAATTCTTCGGACACTGGTGGTAGTTGCAGCCCTGGTGCTGGGCTTGACTGGGTGTCTGTTTGCTCTGGGCAGGACGTGGACGTGGCAGGGCTGTCCCACACGGTCACTGGGCTGAAGAAGTTCACCGAGTACAGCTTCCGGGTGGTCGCCTACAACAAGCACGGCCCCGGCGTCTCCACCCACGACGTTGTCGTCCGCACCCTCTCGGATGGTAAAGCTCCTTATTCCATGTCGGTTTTGCAGGAATTATCCGGCAATTTCCTTTCAGTGAATTTTTAACCAGACTTTTATGGGTTTTGCTCGTTGTTGCCCTGTTTTATTAGTAGTGTTGTCGTTGCGTGTGGCTGTTCTTGGTCAGAATTCCCCAGAGGCCTTTCAGACTGGGTGAAGGAAAATTGCTGCACCTGCAAAAGTATCTGGGATGGGGATTATGGAACAATGGTGTTCTTCATTCCAGCATCCACAGTTTATTTCATGGACTGCTGGGTCTATGAAGTACTGAGAGCAGACAGAAAAACAAATAAATTTATGCAACAGCTCCAAATTATTTTTTAGGTTCTCCAACATTTTTATATATCAGCAGACTTCTGGTTTTGGAGTGTTTTCATTTTAATTGTTTTCCTGTGGGGAAATGTTGCCTGTCTTTGTTTGCACTCCAGCACAGGTATTATTGAATCTGTTGCATATAGTGGTGAAAGCAGGACCTGGTGCCAGGATTTTTTATAAGGCAAATCAAGAGGTACTGTGAGCCAGCAGAGATACACAAGCAACTGTAGAGTGATCAGAGTTAATGTTAGCCCATATTTTTTATAGAGAAGTTTATTTGTATATGAGAACAACCAGATGGAAAGTAAGTGGAGCCTGGAGTCATCTCTTCAGGAATGACCAGAAGTAGAACAGAGGAGCAGAGAGGCATATTATCTCGAATTCTCCCGGACCTGAGCTTGTTTCTGGGGCACTTCTTGTCTCTTTGGTGATTTCTGTGTTTTGTTAATTCAGTTTCTCCTCCATAAAACCCTGTCAGCATCTTCTTTAACCCACACCAGCTTTTATCCACAACATCAAGTGGACAAAGATTCTACAGATAAATTTCCTCTGAACAATCCCCACTTCTTGTCTGTTCAGTCCCTGCTCTGTGTTAGTGTTACTTGTTGCCTGAGTAGGGGGAATAACCAGTGTCCACAGCCCCCTCTGTCCCCCTCCTCCCTCTGTGGACCTTTGCCGTGTTCTCCCTCATTTCACTCGTTTTCCAGATTCCCAAGTCACAGGAATGGTTACCCACTTCTCTTGTGGAAGCTGTTTCCACCTTCAGTGCCCTTTTCTGAGCCTTTTTCCAACTTTTTTTTCTCCTGTGTACTTTTAAGTATGGAGGTAGGGAGGACTGTAATGGTATCAAACATACAAGTGAGGCATTACTTGCATTTGACTGACTTTGGCTGCTTCTGAGCCCTGAGGTGGGAACATCCCAAGGTCCTTCTGCAGTTCTTCACCATCAGATCATGGCACGGGAGCTCCACAGCTCACCTCCCACCACGTCCCTTCCAGCCTGCTTCTGCCCTTATTTTAGGCAGCTGTTCTCTCTGGTGAGCACTTCTGTGCCATCCCCTCATTGCCTCATTCCTCAAGAGCTCCAGGAGGTTTATGATGTGGGATTTCCCTTGGAGAAGTGAGAAATACATACTATTATTCCTCCTATTACTCCTACTCTCTCTAAATTTCATGCTTTATTGTTGCTTCAGTTTATTTGCCTCACAGAGGTTTCTGACACTCCTGGGAGTTTGAGTGGATCCCACTGTGGTACTGGCATCACACTGACCATCTCCCAGTATCAAGGTAGCTTGGGAGAGGTTACATAAGTCATGCAGCTGTTTAATTCCCAAGTTCCTTGAGAAACCCTGGATGGATTGCACCTCACCCTGGCAAGATGCTGCTGTTCCTCACGTCCAACTCTTCCAGAATCCCTTATATTGACATTTCAGTTGGAGAGACCCTGGGAGTCCCATGTAAGGATGTCATGGAAGCCTCTCCTTTCCCACACTACAAATGCAAAGAGAGTTGTGTGGCCTTATCTTTGTCTTTTTCTCTCCTACCCTGACCATTTGCTAACTCTGATTTCTCTAAAGGGCTTCCAACTCCTTTGTTTGAAGAATTCATTATTAGTTATAATGTCATTTTGACATTTTCCTGAAGTTCTTTCTTCTAAATCTTGTTTTCACATTTAACCTGCAGATATTTATTTTCTAAAGCTCTCTGAAGGATGTCATCTTACTTCTTCCAATCTCATAACCTGCTACTTAACCACACTGCTCTGCCCCTGCAAGCTCCCAAATCTTTGAGGAAATGATGTGCATTTTTTTCCTGTGTTTTCTTATTGCAGTGTCCATGAGCAATCTCTTGTTCCCTGCAGGGATTTTCTCCCTAAGCTTCCTTTAGCTGTGATTTAACAACATCTGCATTTTGATGTAGGTCTTTGCTCCTAATCTGTTCTGGTGCCTTGTTGCAGGGGTGGCTCTGCAGGTATTACCATTCAAACCAAGGTTTATGTGCTGCTCGTGAGGATTGCTTTGCTTCTCATGGAATTCCTGATCAGGGATTACAGCTGGAAATGTAATCTCTGCATCACAGCCCGGCCAAGGCATTTCTCTCCCAGTCTCTGAGCCCTGAGCGTGTCCTGGTGCTCCTGCCTGCCTGGTTTCTGTGTCCTGTGCAGCACCAGGCAATGCTTTTCCTATGGAAGTGTTTGACAAGAGATGTTGGGAGGGAATCCTTCCCTGTGAGGGTGGGGAGGCCCTGGCACAGGTTGTCCAGAGAAACTGTGGCTACCCCATCCCTGCAAGTGTCCAAGGCCAGGTTGGATGGGGCTTGGAGCAACCTGGGCTAGTGGAAGGTGTCCCTGCCCATGGCAGGGGATGGAAAAGGATGAGCTTTGAGGTCCTTTCCAACCCAAACCATTCTGTGCCAAACTGCACCGTGCATGTGTTGAGATGCATTTTTATGATTACATTTACATGCACAGGTCCTTTCTGGTGTCCTGCTGATTGTCTCTCACCAAGTTGGCAATATGTGCATTAATTCTTCACAATTCTTTGTGCAACCCATGACTTTAAGGTTGTTCTGAACACAGGCACCAACTGCCTCAAACAACCAGCAAGGAAAGTTTGGCTTTATATCGTGTCCTTCCCCTCCTCAGTGTCACAGGAACGTGGTGACTGAGCTTTTCCTGTTACAGAAAATCATGATAACAAAAACCATGGCCAGAATTCTAAATGTGGGTTCCCCAAATCAAGCAGTGTATTAATTAAAGATTTGCTTTGGGAAAGTACTGAATGAGATCTCATCTCTGAGAGTTTATGAGATAAACCTTTAAATACAAAACATTTTTTATTTAGATAGCTGTGATAAGTAAGGACTTGAATAAAGAGTTCTTTGTGATGAAAACACAGAACCCTCCTCAACCAGTCACTGTGTGTCAGAAAGTACCTCTGGGAGGATTTGGTCCTTTATAAAGTGTCTTAAACCAGAAGGGTTTGTACTTACTTGCATAATGAATGAGAGCAGAGAGTGGTTGGGTATGGAAATACCATATTTGAAAATTTTGGAATTGTAATTCCTTTAATGTTTCTAGTCCCCAGTGCTCCACCACAGAATCTGACGCTGGAGGTACGGAATTCCAAGGTAAGATGTGGCAAATCTCCTGTTGGTAATGGGTAAATAAAGGCTGGTGGGTCTTAGACTGACCACATTTCAGGGCTGCTATGGGTCTTTTTCCTCCCACGCTGCTTTTGAGCTCTTTGTGTGTGAGCTGCCCAGCAGGAGAATATCTGAGCGTGGGGCTTGAAGTGGTGGGAGCTCCAATCCAGTGGTGGGCTGGACATGGGATGCAGTAAGACAGTGACAGGGCACCAAAGGCTCCTGATGAAAGGGGTTTAATCAGGCACAAAAGCCTGAAGGAGGAGAGCTTGAATTGCTGCTGACTGACTGTTGTTTACAGTGTGTGCACTCACCAACACACGTTTGCAGTGTCCTGGGCACTTCAGAAGAGAGAATTAAACACTTGGTCATTGAGAGTGGAGACTTTTTTTAGAAGCCTTTCCTAAAAACTTCTTTCCCAATGCCTTCCTGTGCTGCCTTCCCCAGAGCATCCTGCTGCAGTGGCAGCCCCCTCCCACAGGGACCCACAGCGGGCAAATCACCGGCTACAAAATCCGCTACCGGAAGGTTTCGCGCAAGAGCGACGTCACCGAGAGCGTGGGGGGCACCCAACTGTCCCAGCTCATCGAGGGTGAGCAGGGCCTGGCATCGGGGGGGCTTTGGAGGGGCCTTTAGAGGGCTCAGAGGGAGGGTTCTGTAGGGCCTTGCCTTGGGAGTCAAACTGAGTCACATCTCAGACGGGTGTCGGTGGGTTCTGAGGTCGCGTGGGCTCCAGGTGAGAACTGAGGGCTGCTGACCTGATTTTGCCATGGATTTGCTAAATGGATTGGATGATTCCTTATAAAAGGCATGGGGTTTGCCTGCAGCATCTGCCCAAGTGCCAGGAATGACGTGTGGGGAAGGATTCCAGAGGAACAGGAGCTGAGAGTACTGCAAGTGATAACCAATAACCCAGCTCTGAGTGTCTGACCTGATCCACCCTGCACATCATCCCACCTACTTTCATTGGAATCAACCTTTCTCCTCCTTTCTAGCGTGAATGTATAATACGTCCCCTATTTTGTACACTTAAAAATCCAGTCTGGGCCATCACTTAGTGTAAATTATATATTGTTACCAGAACTAGAATCCTGTTTAGCAGAAATGAGCAGTGCGTGAGATCAGGAGCAAGATAACATTTTGTTCGTTTTTAAAATCTCTGTAAATGAACAGTTGGTCAAAAGAGAAGAAATAGTGAAATTCTAGAGGAGGAACACGCAGTTTTTAATAAGATGTTCTGATTTTTTTTCTCAGAAATTCCAGCTATGACAGTAAGTCTCAGTCTTCTCAGAACCGAGATGTTCCTGTAACTCGAGTATATTTTTGTCACAACAAAGCCTGTCTTGGATGTTCCATATATCCATATGTGTTTGGATGTTCCATATATCAAATTTTGAGTGCATTTTCACATTGCTTCAATTTTTATTATTATTATTACTATTATTATTACCATTTTTTATTATAGACACTTACATAGACTAAACAGTTTGCACAGTTTGCTCACCTACTGCTTCTGTGCCACCCCTAGGTTTAGTTGTGGATGTAATTAGTAATTAAAACTAATTAAGAGCTGTGAATTAAAGCTGGCTGTACACAGCACCTCAGAGTCCCTTCCAGCAGTCTGTGGGACAGTGGACCATCCCAGCCCCGGGTGTCCCCTCCCTGGTGTCCCCTGGCTGAGGGCTCCTCCCAGCCCTGACCTCACGGCGCTCCGGTGGCAGGGTGGGTGGAAGGTTTGTTTCCATCAGGTTATCCCGGTGTGTCGGTCGGGTCTGGGGTTGCTGCCCGTGGTGGGAATTCCTGTGCTGACCCCGGGGTTGTCCCTGTGGCAGGGCTGGAGCGAGGCACCGAGTACAGCTTCCGAGTGGCTGCCATGACCGTGAACGGCACCGGCCCCGCCACCGACTGGGTGTCAGCGGAGACCTTCGAGAGCGACCTGGACGGTGAGAGCAGCACTGGGATGGGGGGCATGACAGGCATCACAGCTCAGGGGCATCACAGCTCAGGGGCCTCACAGCTCAGGGGCATCACAGCCATCATGGCTCAGGGGCCTCACAACCATCACAGCTCAGGGGCATCACAACTCAGGGGCATCACAACCATCACAACCATCACAGCTCAGGGACATCACAACCATCACAGCTCAGGGGCATCACAGCTCGGGGGCATCACAACCATCACAGCTCAGAGGCCTCACAACCATCACAGCCATCACATCTCAGGGACATCACAACCATCACAGCTCAGGGGCATCACAGCTCAGGGGCATCACAGCCATCACTGCTCAGAGGCCTCACAGCCATCACAGCTCAGGGGCCTCACAACCATCACAAACATCACAGCTCAGGGGCCTCACAGCCATCCCAGCTCAGGGGCAGGGCACACTGGAATTTCATTGCCTTTGGTAAAGGGAAACCCGTCTGTTTTACCGTGTTCTAATTGTACCATGGGTTTCATTTATGATTAATTTTTTATTAAATTGATTTCTAATTTAACAGAAAATTCTTGCCAAGTCAGCAAAATGGCTTGGAATCAAACCCTGCTTCTACACTTTCTGGTGCTGTATGTTGGCACTAAGTGTAAAATACCTCATTATGAGTGACAGTGAGATGCCACAATAGGAAAGAAATAAATAAAGGAAAACGTTGTCCCCCACAGCCCTTTGCAGTCCTACCCCCATATTTCATTGGTGCTGTGCTTTCTTTGACCCACAGTAGCTGTTATTTTGCCACTTGAGGAGAAAAGGCAGATTGATTAAATTTTCAGACCATATCTCCCATCAGCAGTGAAGTCTCTTCCACCAAATCCATGGATTCATGATGTGTGATATACAGAACCATGGTAACAGCTTGTTTTCCCAGTGTTGAGTTTAACAATTAAAGTAGGAAATGTTCTGTGACAAATTTTGACCTCTGATAGTTGGTCCAGACGTTTGGTCTTTCCTACAGTGGAATAATTTACAAGTGGGAACCTGATTGTGGCAGAATTCAAAGGAGCAATTTTGTGAGTATCTCCCAGATCTGACCAAGAGCCAGTAAAATGGAAGAAAGGTCTATTTTTAAAGGATGGCTGGGGGGGAATCTCTTTGGAACTACCTACCTGGAGCTGGTGGTTCTGGGTGCACTGCTCCCGTTTCCAAAATTAGTTGCACCCAAGTTCCCTTCTGCTTGTTGGGGGCCACTCTCTCTTGGCCTTGTGGAAGGAGCTGAGAGGGTCATTCCATCTCAGTGCCACAGGATCCAACTGAGTCTTTCACATCTGTGTGGCCTCAAGTTCAGCTTTCCTGGCAGCTGCAAGATGAAATAATGAAAGTGTTTCAATATTTGCTCTCCACTGTTGGAAGATCCTTCACAGTCGGCTCAGAAAGCCCTGGAGAGCCCCTGCTCCAGTCTCTGTGCTCTGCAAAGCTGATGCTCAACTTAATCCTTGTTCTCCCTGCTCCAGTGTTAACAGTGCAGTTCAGGTCTGTAGATATTTCAAATGACTTTTCAGAGTTGAAATCACTTTGATCTGTGTGTCTGTCTTCCCCTAAGTGGATATGACACAACTGTGGAGCTTTGAGAAGCCACGAGGTCCCCAAACTGGAGCAGAGCTCTGTAAATAGGCACTTCAGGAGGTAATGAAAAGGTCCCTGAATTAGAGTTAACAATGCTTTGCCAGAGGATAGCATCAGGATTAAATTTAAATTTAAACAGGGCAGAAGGAGGGAGAAGAAAGGAACCTTTTCCTTCTCTGTTGACTTTGTCATTTAAATTTGGAATGTTGCAGTCCTTGCAGGAAATCTGAATTTCTTTCTGCATATTCTTTCCAGTGAATAAAGTAATAAAAAATTCACAGTTAAGACAACCTAACCTGGTATTCAGATCATTCTGTGTACATGTGTGAGAACTTTCTGTATGTGCACACTGGGGAGATGATGTGTGTTTTTGAGTTTCTTTCTTTAGGAAGCTCATGTGGATAATTTTAACACCATGCAAATGTATTTACAGCTAATCTTGCACTTCTCGGGTTCAGTAGGCAGGGAAGGCATAATTTCTTTTCATTCCTATGGCTGCTTTTTGAATTTAAATAGAAAATAACTCACCTGACAGTCTCCTCAAGGTACAGGGGAGCTGGAGTGTGACAATCCTGTGTTGGTGCAGGTGCCCCAGGAGTGCAGAGCAGGAGGTGTTAAACAGTTGTACAAAGTTTATCCCCTGTGCACCAGCTTCTGTGCAGTTAAAAATGTCACCTCTCAGGCTGCACTTGGAGCTTTGCTGTGTTTAATATTTGTGAACTTTAATTGATGGGCTGTGTCAGCTGGAGGCCAGAAACCCCCTGGGCTGGCAGGGCAGTGCTGTATTATGATCCAAATAATCCTTTTGTGGTGCTTTATTAAATGGTTTTAGAGAAATGCAGCATGTTCATTAAAATTAAATCCCTGCAGGAAGCAGAAGTCCTTGTTTTTATTTTAGAGTGGGGAGCTCAGTTTGCTGTTGCACAGAATTGTTTATAATCCGTGGGCACACGGCAGCTCCAGTGGGATGACAAAAGTCTTATTTAATCTCTAGAAGTTAAAACAAAGTTGTGGACACTGCAGGGACAGTTGTGAGGTTGCTTTTAGGTTCGAATCAACAGCAGGGGAAAAACCTTATAGTAAAAACATGAGAGGCTTACTGTGGCATGTTGGGGAAGTCCTGGTTTTAAGGACCCACATTTCATCTCTCCGTGGGTTGGGAAGAGATTTGTGTTGCTTTTTGGGGGTAGGGTTTGACCATTTGATATAGACTCTCTGTTTTTTGATCTTTTAGTTTGGCTGTGTAGTTTCTGCTTGTATTTTGTGAATTATGTGAACACAGGGATTTAGGCAGCAACAAGTGTAGGACAAATGCAGGGTGCATTCTCAGAGCTTTGCAATATCCTATTTAATGCTACAACAAGCTCAGGAACCTTTTTTCGTTATCAGGATTTTCAGTATAATTACTTTAATGCCCACAAGTAAGGAATGTGATGGAATTGGAAACAGATTGCTTTGTGGAGGGGAAGGATGGGATAAATCTAATGCATGCTTGGAAGAATTGGTGAGAAGATGCACAACCATCCAGAAAATCTACCCTGAGCAGATGTGATACTTTCTTCAGTACAACTGCCCTTTCTTTTAAAGAGAGGATCTATTAAATACAAGTGTCCAAAGCTCTGTTTGTTGGAGCTCTTTGCTCTCCCTTGGACACCAAAGCTCTTCCATTGGAACGTGCTCATTTCACACAGAGTAGAAGTGCTTCATTTGGCCCTCCCACCTCACATTCTTCGTGGAATTACCTTTATTTGAGAGAAAGCCTTGAAATCCATCATTTTTCCTTGACAGAAACTCGTGTTCCTGAGGTTCCAAGCTCCCTGCACGTCCGTCCCCTGGTCACCAGCATCGTGGTGAGCTGGACCCCCCCGGAGAACCAGAACGTGGTGGTGAGGGGCTACGCCATCGGCTACGGCATCGGCTCCCCCCACGCCCAGACCATCAAGGTGGACTATAAACAGAGATACTACACCATCGAGAACCTGGGTGAGCCAGGGGGATCCCCAGCCCTGCCCCTGTCACCTCCTGCAGCCCTTGTCACAACCCCTTCCATGCTGAGCAGCAGCAGGGGCCCCTCATTCTCCAGCTGGAGCTGCAGAACAGGTGGCTTCAGGCAAAAAGAGGAGCTAAAATGTCACCAAGATTCACTGGCAGCTCCTTGGAAAGGAAAATAGATTCACCCCTCCACAGAATTCTCTGTGGTGGGTAAAATAGCCTGAAAGCCAAAGAAATATTAATATTGAGAAGTTCCATAAAATCGGAGGTTGGAGTTATTTTGTAGTAGAGCAGCGTAAAATGGTCATTTTAAGTTGTTTTTCCTCACTGCTCTTCTGGCTGTACTTAAGGGAGATTTGCTGTGACTAGAGACTTCCACTGATGAGAGCTGTTGTGTCCCTGCCCATGGCAGAGGAATGAGAGGAACTTTAAGGTCCCTTCCGACCCAGACCAGTTTGGGATTCTGGGAACACAAACAGAAGGTCTGCATGGAGACTTGCAGTTCAAATTAAATCAAATTATTTCATATATTTCAGTTAAAAATTAAAATACTGAACAAAGAGGGTATGGAGAAGCAGAAAATAGGATTCATTTGATATTCTAATCTCTTTTTTCCCTTTAGACCCGAGCTCCCACTATGTGATCACCCTGAAGGCCTTTAACAACGTGGGGGAAGGGATCCCTCTGTACGAGAGCGCCGTGACCCGGCCCCACTCCGGTAAGGAGCAGGGGCTCTTCCCAGTCCTGCACAGCTGCTGGAATGTGGTGGTGTGGGATGGAAGAGTCTGGTTTGTCCGTGCCACCCAGCGCTCCCCATCCCTTTAACTGGCTGCCCTCACTGCTCAGGGATTGCCTCACTTGTCTCACATTAAACCACCTAAAACTGGGGCCATTTGGAAGCTACAGAACTTACCTGTCAGCTGCTGATAGATGTTCTTGTTCCCAACATTAACATTACGTGAACCCAGAGCCTGGGGGTGCTGTTCTAAAGGCACAGCCCTTGTTTTGGGGTTTAGGGGCAAATACAGCTTTTTTGGTGTTTTACACTGAGATGTTGAATATGATGTGTGTTTGCTTTATCTAAGTCTCACTCTGCTGTCACTTACACCAAAAAGTTGGTGGAAGTTTTAATTTTGAAAGAGTTTAAGCAGAGGAAATGGTTTGCAGGTGAGGTGTTGCCATGTGAGGGCTCGCTGTGCTCTCTGGTGACACCAGCGAGGGGTTTACTGTAGGTGCAGCACTTTGGTTTAGTCCTGGAGAGCAGGACTAAAATCCTTAGACATTTTATAGAGTTGCAGTTCACAGTTACTGTATATTTGTCTGATACTTGGGACTCAATGCCCATAACATGCTTTAAAAGCTGCTAGGAGCTCCCTGTGTATGAAGGGACATTTCCCCATCCAGAAGGAGTCCAGGTCTTTGTTCTCCTCGTGGTTTTCTGGAAGAGGACTCAGTGGACATCCTGAGGAAAATGAAGTTAAAATGGCTGTGTCTTTGGGGTTCTCAGGCCATGGTTGAGGGCACTGCACACTAATACCATTAAGTATTATACCAGCATGTCTGTGTTGTCTTACTGTCTATAGAAGGGAAGAGATGCAAGAGTGATGTTATTGACCAGTCTGATGTCACCTATTAACTCTGGCTTTTCTCTCTTTTTCTCCATTCCTCACCCTCCATCTCATTGCACTACCCTGCATTTCCCCTTTTTTGTTTTGGTTTACATTAAAATGCCGCCTCCTCCCGTTTTAATTGTAATCCCCGACTCCTTGCCCATCGATTCCCCAGACACTTCCGAGGTTGATTTGTTTGTTATTAATGCTCCATACACTCCAGTGCCAGACCCGTCTCCCATGATGCCCCCGGTGGGAGTTCAGGCTTCCATCCTGAGCCACGACACCATCCGGATCACGTGGGCAGACAACTCTCTGCCCAAGAACCAGAAGATCACGGACGCTCGGTACTACACAGTGCGCTGGAAAACCAACATCCCGGCCAACACCAAGTACAAGGTACTGGCTCCAGCAGCTCCAGCAGCTCCAGCAGCCTTGGGGGTCAGGGACAAGGAGTGCCGAGGTGGCAGCTGAGGGTAAGAACACCCTGCAGAGCTGTGCCAGGAGGGGCAGGGTTGTTCCAGGTTGGTTTTGTGTTCTGTGGGTGAGAGAGCTGGAGCTGGGGGTTGTGGGAGTGGATGGAAGAGCACTTCCAGAAGGGTGTTCTGCTCTGGAGCCAGGGGCACAGGGACAGTTGGACACTTGGAAGGTCTGTGTTACTGACTCTCTGCCTCTTCCCCAGCCAGCAGAGAACCTGAATTTGGGGGTGAGTCCTGCAGGGAAAAGATTGACTCCTGTGGTTTTCAGTTCCTTTTACAACCTTTTCTGTTCATGCCGAGTCGATAGCGAACCTTTCCTTTGGGAACTCAATGGATGCAAAATACACAACAATAACTTCATGATGTCCCTACCTTCCTCCATTTTCATCTGTTTTGATTTGGAAACTGGATTTGGGGTTTCAGTTTTTTTAGTTGGTTGGTTGGATTTTTTTATTAATTTTCAGGGTTATCTGGAGGCCTCAAAGGTGTTGACTGCAAATTTCACATTTACAATGAGGCTCAGAGGAACTGGTTGTTAAAATACCCAACCAGTGGAGTCCCCTTTACGCTCCTGCAGAGCTGACTTGTTATGGTCCAGATTTATTTTTTTTTTATTGAAATGAAAGGATATTATTATGAGTGTATTCCTCCTCTAAAGGCAAGCCCACATTCCTGAGTCATGTGCAGAGGATGTCTCAGGAGTGATTTAAAGAAAGCTACAGTTTCTGTAGTTAATTGCTTAAAAAAACCCCACCCTCAGTGGTAAAAGAACTATTCCCACCATTCCTGGTGCTGGTGGCCAGTGGGTGATAAGTTTTATTGTGGACCAAAGCCAATATGTAATGATGGAATATAGTTCAGAATCACTCCCTGTAGAAAGCATTTGTCTGAAAGGACAGAAGTTTGAGGGTCTTTGCTTTAACCATGTGGCACCCAGGATGTCTGGAGAACCCACATCCTGCGACTGTTCCACAGCCTTGGGCACAGAACCTCTGTTCTCCAGGATCCAGAGCTGCATCTGTTCAGCACAGGGTGTTTCATCCATCCCTCTCATCCCAATGGATGCTGGAGCCATCCGTTCAGATTTTCTCCCTTTGCCCCCTGTTTCTCACTGGCACTCCCAAACTGCTGCTGAAGGAGCTCTGTGCTCCCAACACAAGTGGTTCCACCTTAAGGAACCTTTTTTTCCTCTATTTATACAGGAGTTGTGTCAATCTGGAGCCTGTAAACACAGGAACAGATGGGATACAGTTCCTAAAAGGCTCCACTGTGCTTTGAACTGTGTTGCTGCACCAACATGGATCAGTTTTCCAAAGAGCCTTTGTTGGGGACTGGGGTTGTCCTGCAGCTCCCTGGGATCCAACAGTCAGCTCTTAAGCAGAACCAAAAATATTAAACCTTATCTCGGGTCTTTTAGGGAAATAAATTGTTCAGGGTACTATTTGTGGAGAGTGAGTGGGGTTTGGTACCATGGGATAGGCTGGGATCTTAAAAACTGGGAGTGGTGTTAAAAACTGGAGAAAGCAGAGAAGTCTGAGCCTCCAGCTGGGCCTTGATGTGTGATTTACATCCAGTGGGATGTGCAGGGAGACTAAAAGATACCAAGATTCAGAGCCATAGGGAAAAACAGAACTTAACCTGTGAAAGGAGCTTGGCTGCAGCCGGGAGAGACCAGGAACTATAAACTATGGAATGTTCCAGTGCTGTTGGAATTCCCACAGGCATTCCAGAGAGGAAGAGCTGGTGTGCATTTTGGGGGTAAGGCAGCTCAGAATGCAAGATTTCTCCTCTGGACTTGTCATTCCCTCGCTGTCCCAGGCCAAGGGCTTTGCTCCCTCCTTTCCCAGGGAGCTGTGCCCAGTCCAGCTTTGTCACAACCCGTCAGCCACAATCCATTTACTCCAGAGGTACTCAGAGTGTGTACCAAGTGAAGGTTTCAGGTTAATAGAGGATTTAATTTTAATTCATTCTATGAGCCCTTGATGACTGGCCACCCCTGTGATGTTGGTGAAGGAGCAAAATACTTGGCACAAACCACAGTCATCCCTTGGATCACAATTCCTGGACTTCCACCCAGCGTAAGAGAAAAAGGCTCTCCCTGATACTTGACAAATCAGGGTTTTCTCTGCAGAATTTGGACTGTATTACTCACAGAGCCCCCAAGAAATGTGCCTTTACCTTGAAAATTAATTAGCTGGAGGTGTTGTTTCTGGAGTCAGCGGCTGTACCCAGTTGTTGGCCCTGTCAAAGACTGAAACAACTCTTTAATTCCATGTTTAGATCACTGCAGGTCAAGGTAAGGAATATACATATCTGTAAATACACCTTCCTTTTTCTTCCCACAGCCTCCAGTGCATTCTGTTGATGTTCAAGCCACGTATAGCAAATACCAGATATTTAAAAATGGCCGAGTTACAAATTCCACTATTTATGTATAACAACCTGCAGTGTTAAATGAACTTAGTGCAATTAAATTCACTGCTTATTATGCTTAGGTTTCCCTGTGGATGAAGTGTAAAGGACAAAAAGCCCATCCAAATGAGCCTGGAGTTCTTTTTAAAATACAGCCAAAAAATCAAGTGTGCAAAGAATTAGTAAGATCTTCTATAATAGAAATTCTCTATAGAAATTCTTACTTAGAAATTCTAAAATTTCTGTTCATTAAATGTGTAGTTTTTGTGTGTGATCCTAGATAACCATCTTGTTCTGGAAAAAGTCTATGTATTAGTAAAGCTTCGTTCTCTTCACGTCTTTCTAGTGTATCTTTAGTTGATTGTTTATTATATTTAAGAATGTCCTGAAAATTCTGCAGGAATTTGGGAGGCAGCTCCAGGTTTCAATCAGGATTGTTATTAGCTGGGCTTATTGTTTTCCCCAGTTAATGAAATGCTGTAAATTAGCCCCCCAGGTAAACAGTGATTTAGCCACTGCATAACAAGTGGGCCCTGGACCTTGTATTGCCTTTCTTAATTTATAATTGACTGCTATTAAACCTCGTGCTGATTGCAGGAAGAATCTCCAGTTGAGGGTAAAACAACTGCACGTTAATCCTTGATTGAGGAATTTACATGAGAGAGGAGAAACCTCCCGGAATTAATGGCTGTGGTTATGGAAATGTTGGAGGCACCTGAGAGCTGTGACTGATGGCTCAGCAGTTCCTGACTCTTGCCTTTCTTTCAGACTGCCAATGCCACCACCCTGAGCTATTTGGTGACGGGGCTGAAGCCCAACACCCTGTACGAGTTCTCGGTGATGGTGACCAAGGGCCGCAGATCCAGCACCTGGAGCATGACAGCACATGGGACCACCTTTGAACTAGGTACTGCTGGGCTTCTGGGAGGGCTGAGCAGAAAGAAATCAAGCCAGGTCTGCCAGCTTTCTGGTTTTTAAATGATTCTGCTGATGATACTTACTGGGGGGGGCTGTTCTGAATAGTTTAGTCAGAAATTCTGATTAAAAAAACAACAACATACTTCAAAATTCCAAGGGATGATTGCATGCAGGAGAATTTACATCAAATTACAGAGAAGTGATGAATAATGTACCACAATTCATGGGCAGGAGAGAATAAAGTGTGTGCTTGAAACGTCTCAAAAAGAGCACGTTAATAGCAAATACAAAGAAAATACTTCAGCTAATAATAATTAAAATTTGCTGTGTGATGATAATTATGACAGAGCGAGGAGGTGCATGAGGCAAATGAAGACAAAAAAATCACAGTAGGAATTAAGACATCCAAATGAGCCCTAAATTCCTGTTCAGAACAGAAAAGGTTTTATAGCTGCCAAGGAAAACCTTGGGCCCACGGAGTAACTGAGGGCCAGACCCTCTCCCCCGACCTGCCCCTCATTAGCTCTTTTTATCCTGCAGTGTTAAATGAACTTTGTGCAATTAAATTTGCTGCTTATTATGCTTAGGTTTCTCTTTAGATGAACTATAAAGGACAAAAAGCCCATCCAAATGAGCCTGGAGTTCTTATGCTAAATTAAAATACAGCCAAAAAATCAAGCGTGCAAAGAATTAGTGAGAGCTCCCAAATGTTCTGCAACAAGGCATGAGAAAAAGCAAAACCTGGATAAAATCTGAAATCTCTGAACTTACTCTGAAGTCCCATAAACCATTCTTGAGCTTCAGTTGCTTTTGAAAACACTGTTGTGGTTTTTGGAGGGAATTCCATGATGTGGGACCAGCTCTGGGCTGAGGCTCCTTTCCCATCCCAGTGACTATTCCCAGGTTAAAACACTCTCTTTGCTATTTTTGCTGACACACATACAGTCCTCACCCATAACTCTGCACCAAGGGCAGGGACTATAAAATTTGCAGAGATAAAGACCTTAACAGAGAATTTGAACCTCAAGAAGCACACGAGTAATGATGCAGGAGGTCTCGTTGCATTTAAATAGGAAATCCCAAGTTGAAGTGGTTATAGACAATATTTGCAAATGTGACCTAAAAACTTGGGAACTAAGAAAAAAAAATTGAAAAAAAAAATGGCTAAATATATTTTCTCATAAAAGGTCTTGTGATTTGTATGACTGGCCAAATTCCTGAGCTCATTATTTTGGAATATCATGAGTAGCAGCATTGTGTAGGACTTGCTCCTCAGCTAATGATGAAGGAAAATATGGGATCCTGGGCTGAGTGTTAGTGATTTCCTGATCTTTCTTCCTCTGAATCTTCTTTTTATGTATTTGGGGTAATATTTACAGTAACTTTTGGGCTTTGGCTGTCCTGGTTCCCACCTATTCCTCACAGAGGGATACCAGGTGCCCATCTCAGAGGAATGGAGGGATGAATTTCTAATTGGTAACTTAAATAAAGCTCTTGAAATGCAGGAAGCACTGCAAGCACTCAGGGCTACTATTATTGTATTAGTATATCCAATATCCAAGGTGGATTTACTCCAAGTTAACCCAAGGAAAAAGGTTGGACAGTTGTGGTCAGCAAATATTTCTTCCTTTCAGATGTTTCCGTGGTGCAGATTTCCTTCCAAATCACAAATAATCCTTCAGGAAAGTCAGTCAGCAATTGCAGATTTGAAATTGCTGGTGGATTTACTTTGCTGATTTGGATTTAAATGGTAAATTGGCATTTCTGAAGTCATAGAACTCAAAAGGGGTTGGGTTGGAAGGGACTTTAAAGCCCACTAGACACTTCCCACTAGCCCAGGTTCCTCCAAGCCCTGTCCAGCCTGACCTTGGACACTTCCAGAGATGGGGAGTCCACAACCTCTGGGTCTCAGTCCCACCATAAACCTGAAAATATGGAGATATTTCATGTGCCTACCTAAATAAAATGTATTTCTTTCACGAGTTGGTATGATTTTTCTGATGACCGAAGAAATTCAGGTGAGAAGTCAGCGACCTCAGTTGTCCAAAGATCCGTGGTTTTGGGAACACCTGGGCTCACTCAGTCCTGAATCACAGCATGTGGTGACAGCAGTGCCTTGGGAAGGGGGAACTCCATCTGGGAAGGAGGTGCTGCACTCCAGGTCACCAGTGAATGGAGTAAATCAGTGAGACCCCGACAGTAGGTGGTGGATTCCTAAAACTAACATCGAAGAGAACAAACCAAAATAACTTGCATTCATCTAAAACAAAAATCCAGGGTGCTGAGGGTGTTGTTTGTACCCCGTGGGTCTGACAGCCTGGTTCTGTGTGTTTGCAGTGCCCACTTCCCCTCCCAAGGACGTGACCGTGGTGAGCAAGGAGGGCAAGCCCCGGACCATCATCGTGAACTGGCAGCCCCCCTCCGAGGCCAACGGCAAGATCACAGGTGGGCAGGGCAGGGGGGCAGCCCAGGGGGTGCTGCATGACCCTGGGGCCGTGTCCCACCCTCCCTGTAGCCCAGGGCTGCCCAGAGCTCTGTATCTGCTCTGTCACTCTCTGTAGCCGCTCAGATTAATTATTTACTTTTGTACCTCGTAAAAATATATTAAGATCTAAAACTAACTGCAGTGGGAAATTGGAGTGGAACCAGAAATATAATTGGAAGTTTAAATATCTCCATAACCTTTGCCTTCCTCAGATTGTGCTGTTCTAATAGCAGGCCTCCAGAAATTGTCCATAACGCCTCTGGCCCATCAGTGGTTTATTTAGGAGAAGCCATCCCAGTGCTCTTTGTCATCTTAGTGGCGTTTTTGTGTCACAGAACAGACTTAAAGGCAGTTTATTAGTCCCCTGACAGAACCATTAGGAGTAAACTGTTATTTGCCTTTAAGTGCATCACTGCCACGTAGGATAAATCACTGTACAGAAAGTGATAATTCCTGATTCCTGTCCGTAATTTCTGTTTGGATTCCCATTTCCAAGGGCTTTCTGAAATAATTCACTTCTGTTTTTCTTTGTTTTTATGCCAGGTTTTAAGCTTAAATAAGATTTTAATGGCATATTGTTTGCAGTGTGTGGGTTTGGGTTTGTGCTCAGAATTAACCACGGTGCAGGATCACCTGATTAGGCAGGACTGGAGCCCAGGTTCTGCACAGGAGACTGAATTGAATTAGAGCCCTTGGAAAAGGCAGCAAGATGTTTCCTCTTTGTGGGAAGGAAGGTTTGAGTGGAGAAAAAAGAGCCTTTATCTGAAGTGCAGGTGAAAGGACTTGGCTGGTGGTGGCCAGTGAGGGGCCTTCAGGCAGGGCAGGCACAAATATCTGACACTGAGGGCCCTCAGGGGAGACGGGGAACAACATACAGAGACCAGCACTTACCTGCACGTGGTAAATGAGCAAAATTATCCCATTTTCCTGGGAAAAAAGGCCCTTGCAGTGTCTGCTCTGAAGTGCAGCCTTAGTTATCCACATAGGTTGAACAAAAGCATCCAGTGCTTATTAGTTTGTGCATAAACAGCAGGTTAAAACATCAAATAAAATAGTAATTAACTGGTAAGTTTGAGTGCACCAAGCATGAGCTTCCCTTTTCCAGGGAATGAGGCAGTTTTTGGGATGTGGGGGTCGAGTGCCCTCTGGTGGGAACAGCCCCGGCTGAGGGACAGCTCCAGGCTCCACTAATGAGTCATTAACTAATGAGTCATTAACTCTGTGCATTGAGTAGTGCCATAAAAACCGAGGGATGATGTCATTCCATGCCCTGGGCAGCCTGTCTGTGGAATATGTGGCTTTGCAGCTGCCATCTCCCTTTGGATGTGGTTGGGATGGATTTGGAATACTGAGCTGGGCCAGGCTGGGTTCCTGATGTGCATCGTTAAACCCGCTGAATAATTAGGACAGTCATAAGTTAACTCACTGCTTGTGCCACTATAGTGCTTTGAACTGTCACTACATACATATATATAAATATTAAATATATGTGTGTATAATATATATTATAGATGTAAAATACTAAATAAATATTAATAATATAAAGTAATAAAAATAATAATATATAAATATAATATGCACCGTAAGTATAATATAATTTATAATATTTACAATATATTATATAATTGTAATATAGCATATAGACAATATAAATAATAAATAATAAATCATATCTACATATATATACACCTATATTGGTTCAATTATATATTTTATGCTGAGGCTTTGTGTTTCGTATGTAAAAAAAGTTATAAAGCTTTTACTTCATGTTGATTTTTACAATTGCAGTGCTTTTCAATAACAGAACATAAACTCCTCCCATACCTTTTTTTCCTGGGTTGTGCAGGACAACCTCAGTGCTCTTCAGATTATTGCCATCTTTGTTAATGCACTGGAAAACACTGTTTTGTGCATTAACACTTGGTTAATACACTGAAAATAAAATAATTATAAACTACTGAACACATGTTGCTGAGCTGTGCATGAGAATGTTTTGTGGTTTGAACATTATTTAAATAATGTATTATAATAATATATTAATAAGATAATAGTAATACTTTGAGAATGTTTTGATAACAACAGCATGATCTTATTTTACTTATAAATAGGTAAAGAGGTGGAAATGAGCAGTTTTCCCATGTGCAATGAACAGTGCTCAGAAATTATGTTGATATTTTAAAGGGCTTTTTTCCTCTTGCTGTATAACAGATGGGAAGGGTGGCTGGTGGCTGGATGCATTCTTAGTCTTGGGAAAAGTGAGAACACCCTTAGCAACCCCCTAACCCTCATTTTCTGTGTGATCTGGTGACTGTCCTGCTCTCCCCTGGGAACAGGATACATCATCTACTACAGCACCGACGTGAACGCCGAGATCCACGACTGGGTCATCGAGCCGGTCGTGGGGAACAGACTGACCCACCAGATCCAGGAGCTGACCCTGGACACGCCCTATTACTTCAAAATCCAGGCCAGGAACTCCAAGGGAATGGGGCCCATGTCCGAGGCCGTGCAGTTCAGAACCCCCAAAGGTAAAGTGGCACCTGCATCCCGACAGCTCCTCCAGAAGGACGAGCACCAGGAGCGTGCAGTCTGTGCTTACACTGACTGGGAAAGGCTGGAGTTGGGTTAGAGCAGAACTCCCTGTTGTCTTGCTCTTGCCTGGAATTAATCCCTGTGCAGGTGGTGCTCAGCTCTTTGGTTCATGGTGCTGTGACTGCTCTTGGATCCTTAGTTATGAGAAACCCAGGTTTGGCTACAGTGACACTCCAGGACTGTGTCACATCTGCTCCCTGGGACCGGGGTGGTGCAGGGGGAACTCATGGGACACAGCAGGCTCCTGAATCAAGAACTGATGGTGGTGGGTAGGTGGTAAATAGTACAAATGTGAGATAGCTTGAGAAAGGTTCTCAGGGGGGAGAAAGAAAAAGTTATGAGTTTATCATTGTGGAAACATATCATAGAACTGGGATGGAAGGAACCTTAATGATCATCCAGTCCCATGGGCAGGGACACCTTCCACTCATCCAGGCTGCTCCTAGCCCTGTCCAGCCTGGCCCTGGGCACTTCTCCACGTGAGTATTGGTGGTCAGAAAGGAGCTGTAGCCAGTCTGCCTGTGCTGTGTGAAACTTGAAATTCTGTCTCACTCTTCAAGCCTTGTGATCTCTCTTGTTTTTTCCTCCCTGTGCTTGCCCCATAGCTGAGTCCTCAGATAAAATGCCCAATGACCAAGGTAAATGAACAGCCAACATTTCTCTTCACTCCATCCTTCACCCATCCTGGTTTTGCTGTCCATGCACTGTTGCATTTTCTAAATGAAACAAATATCTGCTGCTCTGACTGGAAATGGGCGAGTTCCTGTTGTGGTTTTAATAGTGGAAGAACTGGGAGTCCTGTGTGTGGGCTGGTGTTGGGAATATAAAGTGATCTCTGTAGTCAGGGGTCCCATGAAGGGCCATGTGGGTGGGGACCCTTCTGCAGGGATGGGCCATCCCGCCCCTGCCTGTTGCTGCAGGACCTCGGCACGAGGGGGTGGAGATCAAACGGATTCTGATTAGCACAGGTGCTGCTTGTGAGCTCCACATCCAGGATTGTTGTCATAAGAAAGGCAAAGATGCTCCTTCTGGAAAGCTTTGTGCAGGAGAGATTCTGTCTGTCAGCTCCTTTGGAGCCCAGACTCTCCTGAGGAGCCCGGCATTGGCTCCTAAAAGCCTTCAGGCTTTCAAATGTTTGTTTGGAAAATGGGAGCTTTGAGGCTTCCTACATGGAATTATAAGGTGAATGTCCCAGGGCTGTTCTTGCTTTCTTCCAAATAACCTACAAGCCCAATAAAAAGGGAAGAATTAGTCTGAAGGGATGAGTTTAAAAGGCCATTGGCAAACAGCTTAGACTTCCAATTAAAGAGATCCTAAAGGGGCTGAGAGGGTTGGACTTGGCTCTGCAACTTGTTACTTAGCAGTAATTTATTAAATATGCTTTTACCCCTGTGCACCAAATACTGCTGATAGGAGGGGATTAGGGAGGAAATTCATATGCAGCCCCTGTGCCAGAGGTGGGAGCTGGGATCTGGGATCTGGGGTGCCTGGGGGTGAGCAGCTGCTCTCCCTGACACCATCCGTGCCCAGGTGCAGCGGGAGGGAACTGGGGAAGGTTAAAAGGTTTTAGGGAAAAGTTGCTGTTTTCTATTCTGCCCTGTTCTAACCCCATTTCAGCAGAGAATCTTCCATCCATCCTAAAGTAACAATTCTTCTAGTTCTTTTAGTAACAATTTGATTAATTCTTATCCCATTATTTATAAATCATAAAAGCCAGGAGAGTTTTGTTTCATAATTCCTCTTGGAACACTCAGAGATTATAAATCATGGCAGCAGCTTAAATGTAGGAAAGGAGAAGGTGGAGGAAATGCAGGAAAGGAGCTGAAGAGCTGCTCTGTGACAGCATCACTGAATTGGGACTCTCAGGAAAGAGCCAGCAAGTTCCTCAGGACTGGGAAGGACCCAAACTACAATGGGTTGATTCTCTGGCCCTGATGGTTCTGTCTGTTTTTTTCTCTCCCTGCTTTCCTTCTCTTTGCTTGTGTTATTAAGGATATTGAACTACCCTTGGCCAAGCACAGGTCTTTGCAGAACTCATTAGAAATGTTCTTCATGAATAATGATTTTTCAATTCTAATTCTTATTCTTATTCTTATTCTTATCAGTTAATGGGTGCCATGTTGCTTTTTTATGATGCTGTTTTAACAAAGGATTGTACAGGACACAGTGAAATGTTTTTGGGAAGCCTAAATGCAGTATATTTTATGTATATTATTCTATATCTCCATAATTACTGTTACCAACTATGTTTATAGTCTGACATTTAGTTTTTTGAAAATACCTGTTTTCCATAAAGCAGAAAGATGGGCATAAAGCAGGAACCATCTCCTATCCACCCCTTTTTCCATGGTCTCACCTGTGTTAAGGCTCCAGCTGCTGCACTAGAAATGCTCAGGGTGTCTAATTGTCCTTCTAAAATACTGCTGGTTATTTTTATTCCCCCCTTCTCCCACAGCTGGGTGGAAGATCCAGCAGCTCCTCAGTGCCAGGTTCAGGGATCCAGAGGATTCATTTAGGGTTTTTTCCCATCTTTTCAGTGCAGGTTCTGTGACCATCCAGACACAAATATATCAAACACGAGCTGTTTAAAATGCTGTAAAATTCTGTCCTTGCTGCTGCAGGATTATTAGTGCAGTGCTTCAAAAGGAGAGCACTGGGTGCAGGGTCCTCTCTGCCCTGGCAAGTGCAATGTGTCTTTTTCATGGCACATTTGTCCTGCAATACATCTTTTCCATCATTATAGACTGGAACTCCTGCTGTACACACAGAACATTCCTCCTTATTACCCTGCCCAGGTTTAATCAGAATTCCTGCTGCTCCCTTTGGCTGGTTTTGCCATTTGTCTTGATTTCAGTGACTAATTTACAGGCTCTGACTTGAAGTTCACAGTTTCCATTTGTTACACATCCTTTAACACTTATTACTTCTTGATTAAAGGGGATTTTTAACTGAAAAAATCCTTCTCCTGATTGGGAAACTGCCAAATTGCCTGACTTCTTGGTTAGGTTTGTTTTGGGTTTTTTTTTTTTGTAGAACAATGTAAAAATGTGCAAAATATTCTGGATTCCTGTAACCAGAGGAATGTTGTTCTTTGCACCTTGCTGAACGTTTCCCCCACTATAGTATTCTTCTCACCAATTTCTGCATTGAGTGCATTTTAATGAAAGCACAGAGGGAAAGAACCAGGTTTTGGATGTAAATAATGAATTGGTTTCCTCGGGTTTCACCAAAAACAGTTTTGTGAGGCTTCGTTGTCACTTGTGAACAGAAGAGAATGGGGTTGAAAGCAGGTTTTTATGGATAGGTTGGGCCTTAATATTACATTTACTGTGCTTTGGATCCTCCACTTACTTCCAGTCTCCCACACTGGCTGTAATGGGGTGTTAGGAAAGGGAACGTGGACAATTCGAGTTTCAGGATGATTAACTGTCAGTCCAGGTGTGGCAAAGCCCTGTGCCTCAACATGTACCTGTGCATTGCTGCAAATGATTTTTTTTATCATTTTAAAAATGACTATTAGTAGAGTCTCCCGAGCTGAGTTAGGAAAAGAATAACTCAGGAAACAATTGAAGAGTTCTTCTGGAGAAGTTTTTTTTCTTGGAGAAGTGCAAGTGCTGTGCAAAGGCAAATCGTGTTGTGGGGAGAGAAAAGGAGGGAAAAACTGTTCATGGGGGCATAGAGAAGTTCTAAAAGAAACGTAGAGATGCTAAAGTGTGTGTGTGTGTGTAACATTCCAACATATCCGGCCTTTTCAGCTTCGGGATCTGCAGGGAAGGGAAGTCGCCCCGTGGACTTAGGACCAGACTACAAACCCCCCCTTGGAGGTGAGTGTTGCTGCAAAGCTTTTCCATGTCCATGTGTTTCATTTCCCTTTGGTCTTTCACCCAGCAAACACTCCTGGCATCTGTTCCAGAACTTTTCTCCACAGTTGTTCCCATTCAGTAAGTCCTGTAACACTCCTGCTCTGGTGCTCCTGCCTGGAGTGTCTGGCAAAACTCTCCAGGCATTCCCATGAGCAGATCTGCTTCCCATGGAGTTTTAAAGGGCTGCTGTGGTGCACAAGTGGACAATTATTTCAGTAGGAATGTATTAGGAAGGAAAACCCTCCTGTTCCTCCTTCCCCTGGTTGCTGTTGGGGACACCTTGCCCTGAGGTAACGCTCAGTAGTGTTTGATAAAATTATTCTTTCAGGGCAAAGTGACCCCTGTAGGATTCTCATACTGAGTGTGGTGGTTTCTGGCTCCAAGGGGGTGCCTGTGGTATGGGGGTTTTAGCAAGACCCCAGACTAACTCTCCTTAGACTAACTGTTGAATTTCTATATGGTAACTATTTGAGTTGGCTGAACTTAAGTTTTGATAGGCCTGGTTGGGAATGGATCTATAAATCCTCTTATAGCTCAACAATTGTACAGAAGCACAGGTGGCAAATGACAGAAAAATAAGCACTTCCCAGAGATCCAGGCAGACCAACCATCTCATCCTGCCCATCTGTAGGATGCCAGACACCTTTGGTTTGCATTCCTTGCTTTTTCTATGGAATAAATAACCCCTTTCTCCCATCTCAAACCCTCACAGGCAGTAACAGTCCCCATGGAAGTCCTACCTCTCCCCTGGACAGCAACATGCTCCTGGTGATCATCGTGTCCGTGGGGGTGATCACCATCGTGGTCGTGGTGATCGTCGCCGTCTTCTGCACCCGCCGCACGACCTCGCACCAGAAAAAGTAACAGCCCTTGCCCTGCCCTGCCTGTCCCACCTCATCCTGGCACCTCATCTTTTCTTGATCATGCTGTAGTGTTTTTTCCTTTAAGTCTTCCAGGCTGTAGATGGTGAAGGTCCATTTTTCCTAATCCATGTTCCAGAGTTACAAAGCATCAGGAGTCCACACCCAAACTGGGCAATGCTCTCGTGTGTCCCTGCACCTGCCCCTCTCTCAGGAGAAGCTGCTGTTTAAAATATTGTTTCCAAACTGGAGCCAGTCCATCTCTTTGGAGCTGGGAGAGCTCCACAGCTCAGGCAGCTTCTCACTCCTGCTCTCAGCGTGTCCTTCACTGTGTGAAGTTGGTGTACAAGCTGTGCATGATAATATCCAGTTTTTAGACAGATTACTGGAGTGGAATCTGAATCAGGTGCTGGACTCCTTAGGAAAGTGCTCCAAAATCCATAATATAGGTGTGTACCTGAATTCTTCCCTCATTTAGAGCACCTGAATCAAGCCCACAGCAGCAGTGCTCCCACTTAGAGGCTCCTGAAGGTTCTTTCTGCAAGTTCTTTGAAAGACCAGAGCTGAAAGCTGTATTTTAAGTTTGAAAAGATACTGTTATGCAAAACAGATTTTTAAAAGCTAGGCTTGGAAGATAATCTCCACTTGCTTTGCTGAAGCTGAACCATCCTGCAAAAATGCAAGTTGTTCAGGAGAGGGAGCAGGGATGTGGGAATGTCTGGCAGCTGGGGGATGTGCTTGGGAGAGGGCAGCGCAGATGGGCCTGTGCCCCAGAGATGCATTTGATTTTCAAAGAGCAGAAACAGCCCTGTGAAACCTCAGTTTCTAAATGGCACCTCCCTTACACAGCAGCCCCCAGCAGTGAGTCACTCCTGCTGTGTGCCAGGGGCTCAGCTGGGTCAGGGCAGGACGTGGGAGCACGTCTGGCTGGGAGTCACCTCCGTGGGAGGCTCTGCCCGCTGGTACTGAGCCATATCTGAGCCAGTTCTAGCAGTTGGGTCACCCAGAGGGAACACCTTCCCCCATCTTTGTGAGGAGCAAGTGTGGAGGGCAGTGCTGGAACCCTACATTTTCCTTTTCCCAAATTCCACTGTCCCAAATCTCTGCTTCACCGTAGATTCCTGCTGCTGCTGTTCAACAGCCATGAAAAGCTCCTCAGTCTGAGCAGTGCTGAAAGTGATGTTCCTGTCATTGATCCTCAGTGTTCACCATCCTGTTGGGATAACTGGCTGTTTGCACCCTCCCTCTCCAGCTCTAGCTGGAGCTGAGCCCGGAGCAGGGGCACAGCGTGGTGCACCTTCACTTCATGGTTGGAATGTTCTCTTAACAACCACAAGCACTGCAAATTCAGTTTTTGTCAGTGCAGGCTTGGGCTGCAGGATGTGGGGCCGCTGGGGACAAATTCGTGGCATCAGAGTTGCAGGACGTGCTTTGAGATGTCGGCTGGGCTTGTGTGCAGAGTTCAGAGCGTCCTGCCGGTGGGAAGGTTCTGCTCAGGGATACAGGATCTGAGGGAAATCCTTTCAACAGGTGAGGCTGACACCTAAGAACATCTGAGAACATCTCCTTTGTTTTCCCTCCCAGGAAACGTGCTGCCTGCAAATCAGTGAATGGCTCCCACAAGTACAAGGGGAACTCCAAAGATGTCAAGCCTCCTGACCTTTGGATTCATCATGAGAGACTGGAGCTCAAACCCATTGATAAGTCTCCAGATCCCAATCCCATCATGACAGACACCCCAATCCCTCGCAACTCCCAAGACATCACCCCAGTTGACAATTCCATGGACAGCAATATCCACCAGAGGCGGAATTCCTACAGAGGTGAGAGATCAACAGTGCTTTGGCCATGAGGTGTTAAATACATTTGACTCTGAGTGGTGAAATCACTTTATTGAGATATTACTTAGTCACTCTCTTTTGTTCTCATTTTTCAAGTAGTGAATTGAGTTTGTTCCTAGTTTCTAAGATTCCCTAAAAAGGATGGATCACGTGTTGTAGTGAGGAAATTGAGTGCCCAGGAGTCAAATCATTATTTTCTCTTGGTAAATACTGGCTAGTAATTGGAACATCATCTAACAAGTGTTTTGAAATGAACTCTTGAGAGCTGTGTGTGACATCCTTTCAGCCCACAGCTGCAGTGCCAGAAGTTCAAGTTTGTATTGGGGCCTGGAGAGTTTCTCCAGTACCAAATAACTGTCCTCTTCTCACCTCCTGGTGGAGGATGAAAGAGCTGTTTTTATCAGTTGTGACTCACAAAACTGCAAACAGGACTAGAGAGAGGGGGGTTGAAGTGCTCAGGTGCCCCAGGAGCTGCAGGTCAGTAACCCCAGTGTCTCTCCCTCAGGACACGAGTCCGAGGACAGCATGTCCACGCTGGCAGGAAGGAGGGGGATGAGGCCCAAGATGATGATGCCTTTTGATTCTCAGCCACCTCAGCGTAAGTCACCAGCCCCCCATTCCTGCTCCTGGAGTGGGGAGTGCCCAAACCAGCCACACTGGTGCCACAAACAGGGACACCCACACCTTCCTGCTCACTGCTCCTGAGCAATTCCAGCCTTTCTGCAGTGGGAATAGCTCAGAGGAGGCCCCGGAGCCCCTTATGGGAAAGGCAGAGTTAGACTAAGGGAAAAGGGGAAAAGGAGCAGCTGCACTGGGGTGAGGAGTGGAGGAGAGTCAGGAGTGTGTCCAGTGTCTGTCCATCCCACTCTGGTGCTTCCCAGGGAGAGCCTGTGGGCTTGGCTGCTTTTTGTAGCCGTTCCCTCTGAACTCTGCCAGTGCCCAGCTGTCCCACAGGAACTGCAGAGAGCTGCTCCATCTCTGTCAGGTTCTCAGCTGCTGGTTTTCTCCTCTCCAGCCCAAGCAGTCCCACGTTTTTAGCCTCTCCTCATGAGGCAGCTGCTCCATCCCCTGTAGCTCTTGAGTTGCCATTCTCAGAGCCTCCTCTGACTTTACTACGAGCTCCTTGGAATCTTTGCTCTCTCACTCAGCCCTGTGAGGCCCTTCTGGAGCTCCTGGCCACCAGAATGGCATTTGCCTACCCCAGAGACCTTAAAATTATTGACAAATGGGAAGATTTCTCTGATTGCTTCCATGTCTGCTCACTGAGAAGGAAAACTGATAAAAGCCAGTGCTGGCACTGCTACTTGGAATCTGCTGCTCACTCTCCTCTGTCTTGATAATCCACCATCAAGCCCCTTCCTTGGTTTTGTATCTGTAACCATCTTTCAGTCCATACAAGAGCCTTCCCTCAGCAGCAGCTTAATATTTGACCTTTGGAGTGGAGCCTTTTTGAAAATTCAGCTGTAGCAAAGTGTAGCAAAGGAAAAACTCACAGCAAAGACACTCAACAACCTACGTATCAGTCCCACACAGGATGATACACATTTTTGGGAGGCAGTAATTCCAGTTGTACCTGCTGGTTGTGTTCAGGCTGATGTGATAATTGTGGCAGATAGAGCCATGGATGTGATTTCCCTGCAGCAGCAGCCCCGGCTCTGACAGCCCTTTGTGATGCCAGTCCTGCTGTGTTCCCTGGAAAAGCCTGGCTGATTCCCTCTCTTTCTTAGCCATTGCCTTGCCCAGGGAGAACAAACCAGGCCCAGGCACAGCTGGCTGGGGCGGGTGGGATGAGGAAGGAGGTGCAAGGTCTGCTGGTGCCTCAGGGCTTGAGGTCGTTTTAGTGACTTTGAGTTTTTATCCTGTTTTCAAGAGCTCTGAGGGCCTCCAGCAGTAGGTTTGTGTTTTATAGTAACTGGAAACATTAATATAATGTCATTTAGGCTTTGCAGAAGCTCCACAGGAAGCTCACAGTGGTATGTGAGGCCCTTTCTCAGGAAGCACCACCAGGACCATTCCGTGTGTTTAACTCTGAGCCTGCAGACACCTTCCCATGGCTTCCCCCCAACTGGAGCACTCAGATATAGTTATTTACCTCTAGGTACTAATTTAGGATAATTCAGTCTCTTCCATTTTAGCATAATTTGCAGTAATGGTGTGTACCAAGTGAGCTCCTTCTTTGACTACTGAAATACAAAAATCTTGGAAGGATATGAGGAAGCAAAGGGCTGTTTCTTTTTTAACACACACACTATATGTGGATAGTAGATCTATATTCTCTCTATTCTTCATCTGAACTTTTCTCTTCCTTGAAATCAGACGGTGCATCCTGATGTGAATTAAGTTGCTGGTACTGCTTTTTGGCCTGTAATCAGGTGATGGTTTTGTCCTGTACATGACTTGGGTCTGATGACCCAGGAGTTTAAGGTGGATTGTGAACCAGCTGAGGGTCTGGCTCCCCTGCAGTGGCTGTGTGGGGAAGGGAGGGATGTGGTGCCTTTCAGTCCACAAGCACTGTGTGTGTGTTAAGTGTTTCTCTGTCTTGTGTTCATCCACAGCTGTGATTAGTGCTCATCCCATCCATTCACTCGATAACCCCCACCACCATTTCCACTCCGGCAGCCTCGCCTCTCCAACCCGCAGCTACCTCCACCACCAGCCCAGCCCCTGGCCCCTGGGCACAGCCTTGTCCCACTCAGACAGGGCCAATTCCACAGGTGAGACACAAACCACCAGGGACGTGTTGCTTTCATGGAACCGGGAGCGAAACATGTGGAAATCAAAGCCTGAAACTCGGTCAGTCCCCACTGTGGTGTTCCACGAGGTTTAAGGACGTGGGTGTAAGTGCAGACAAAATCCTGGATAGGCTGAGCTTACTTGTGCAGATCCTTGAGGCACATGATAGAAGAGGAAGCTCTGTGTTTAATACACAGCCACAAACAGGAGGATTCCTTATGCTAAAGCATTCAGCCCTGAGACACCAGATTAAATCTGAGCTACTTAATGTGGTAACTTTTTCCCTGGTTAGTACCATTTCAGACCAAGAGAGGAGAAAGGTCCAGACTTAGCTACTGAGAGCTGACATTTGTTAACCTTCCTGAGGGACACAGAAAATGGGGGTGATTTCCATGCAGTATTTTCAGGCCTGAAGCACAATGAATTGCAGTAGTTTCTGCAGTATCTCCAGTGCTCTGAAGATTTCTGAAGCCACACTGTTGCTAAATTGCACGTGGGTAAAATGTCGAGTTGGAGGGAAATCTGAGCTTTTCTAGCTTAAGGTCAACCTTCTAAGCTGTCATAGCCAAAAGTGTTGTTTCCTTATGAAAGCAGTTCCTGAGGCTGCAAGGACACAGGGAGGCAATATGTGAGAGGCAGAGGTTTATACCAGTGAAGTGACAGCTCCCACAATCCAGATCCTTCCCTGCCTGTGCTCCAAGTAGGATCACGACGCCCTGAATGTAAGATACCATCTCATTGTTCTCTTAGGTCAGCGTGGAGCCTGCTGCAAACACAGCAAGCCTGGGATTTCATCTGAGCTTGAGTTTGAGCTTTCGGCAAGTAGGAAGAAATTCTTAGGAAGAAATTCTTCCCTGTGAGGGTGGAGAGGCCCTAGCACAGGTTGCCCAGAGAAGCTGTGGCTGCTCCATCCCTGGAAGTGTTGAGGGCCAGGTTGGATGGGGCTTGGAGCAACCTGGGATAATGGAAGGTGTCCCTGCTTATAGCAGGGGATGGAATTAAATGATCTTTAAGATCCCTTCCAACTCAAACCATCCTGTGACTCCAGGTAAATGGATTTCAAGCCTGTCTCAGAAAAAACTCAGGCTCCTGTGTCTGCACTAGTGCTTGGTGTGAACCTTAAATTACAGATTTGGTTACAAATGCCAGTACTATGAGATGCTCAAGGGCAGAAGGAGAACGAAGGTTTGTGTTCTCTGCTGGTTTATCTGAGGACTTACTCCATGGAGCTGTTTCAGTGCAGAACTGTTGATTTGCTCTTGGTGGGGGTGTGGAATCATTCAGTTCTCAGCTCGTTGTATTACCAGACAGCCATCGTTCACCATAGAACAGGGCAGTCACACAGGACTGGGGTTATATCCAAATTCCCTCGTACCTGTAACAGTGACCCTGGAAGAGGTGCTTCCCAGTAGCCTGCTGTGTTTCCATGTGCCCCAGAGGCCGTTTCTGAGCAGTAACTGCAGTGTGTGTGTTGCAGAGTCCGTCCGGAACACGCCCAGCACGGACACGCTGCCGGCGCCCTCGGCCCCGCCGGGCACCGACCACCAGGACCCTGAGGGCTCCACGGGCTCGTACCTGGGCACTGCCCAGGAGGAGGACCCTGCCCAGGGCCTGCCCACTGCCCACGTCCGCCCGTCACACCCGCTCCAAGAGCTTCGCGCTGCCCGCTGGTTCCCCCCGGCCGGGCCTCCTACGACCTGCCCTGCCCAGCACCCCCCTGCTGACCAGCAAGGTGAGGGGAAAACAGGCACACGCTGCCAAAACAGGGGGGTTTTAACAGGGAAGGTCCTTGAGGGGCGGGGGGTGGAGTTGGGCATCCAAGGCAGTGTGTCAGAGGCTGCAGTGAGTTCTGTCGGTGTCATTTCAAGGCCTTTTTCTGTACGTAAATAAATTGGACAAAAATTCGGATCCAACGCTCCAAAGTTTAAGTGTTCACTTTCCTCTAATACCATCTTTCTTCATCATAGAATCATTATAGAATGGTTTGGGTTGGAAGGACCTTAAAGCTCAACCAGTCCCACTCCTGCCATCCAACCCATCCAACCTGGCCTTGGACACTTCCAGGGATGGGGCAGCCCCAGCTTCTCTAGGCAACCTGTGCCAGGGCCTCACAGGGAAGAATTCCTTCCCAATATCCCATCTAACCCTGCCCTCCTTCAGTTTAAGGCAGTTCCCCCCTGTTCTTATTCTCTTCCTTTCTGATTAAGCCCAAGAACCAATTCCCTGACTCTCTGACCATTGTTTCCAGCTCCCACCCACCCTGTTCACTCGGTGAAGACCGCGTCCATCGGGACCTTGGGAAGGACTCGCCCTCCCATGCCCGTGGTCGTTCCCAGTGCCCCCGACGTGCAGGAGACCACCCGGATGCTGGAGGACTCGGAAAGCGTAGGTACTTCCACTGCCAGGCCTGGCCTTGCAGTGCTCACAGACTGGGGGGAGGTCTCTCCTTATTTGTGTCACACTTGGAAACTTCAGGAATTCTGCACTGACACTTTCAAAGGCAGAGGGTCACAAGGCTCCAAACTTCCAACACCCCCATTGCCTGTGAATCCATATAAAAAGTACAGGAGAAACACCTTCTGCACAGGGCAGGGTCCTGTTACAGCCCTGCTGCTGCAGAGCATTCCCAGTGTCACTGCACGTGGAACATTTGGCACTAATGCCAACGTGTTTTAAGCATCATCCCAAATATGTTTGTAGACTCTCCTGTGAAAGTGTTCTGACTTTTGGGAAAGGTACAACCACCTGCTGGGCTGCTTTTGGGAGTATCTATTAAGGATATTGAGGATGTTTTGGGTGGGAGGCTGGAAGTGCTGTTTTCCTTTCAAATTGCAAGCCAAGAAGTTTCTCCAGTAGCTACTGGATCACTAGAATCATATACTGTCTTCAGTATCACACAGGTATTAGCTCTGATCACTGCTACAGGAATGATTATTTTGAATTTATTTTACTTTTTTTCCTCATTGTCCTTTTCATTTGTCACATGTTTTTGTTGCCCTCTTGATTTTCTTTCTGCGTTTGCTGGTCTAGAAACTTGATCTGGTGCCCTTTTGCCCTTCTGTCTAGGTGTCACTCCTGCTTTATTTGTTTTGTTTGGTCAGTACCAAACCCTTACTCATTAGTTTATCCATCAATAAATTGGTAATATTCAAATAGAGCCATTAATAAATTTGTTCATTGATAAATTAGTACAAGGTAGAGTCAGCACACTAAATACTAGTTAAATTAAATTGCTAGTTCAAGTATGAGTTTTGAAAATTAAATTATAAGTTGAATTAAGGGGTTTAGGGTTAGGTAGTGATTTGAATTAACTCTATTTTTTTATGAGAGCCTGTAGGAATGAGTTTACTTTCAGCTGCTGCTGTTTATCATTGTCAGATAACGTGTTGGACCCAGGGCAGGGATGACTTTTCTGGTACAGTCCAGATGTTTGATAAACTGGAAGTTCAATGCCATTTAAATTAGGAGAAGGTTTGTCTCTAGAAAGAAAGGAACTGAGAGCAGGGTCAGGGTTGAAAACTGCACAGAACTGGGAAGGACTTGTTCAGCAAAGGTTTGGAGCTGCCGTGGTTCATGGTGTGTCTGCACACAGGCACTGATCACAGAGGTGATGGCTCATCAGTGCAGCTGAAACTGGACCTCTGAGCCTAATACACTGTGATTTCAGGGAGGGTAACAATTCTCAAAACATTTCTTTTGAGGTGATTCCGTTGACCTGCTTTCCAGTTAAGCTGGGAAGACTTTTCTAAACTGCCTACTCTGGTTCAAAGGCAGCTGTTCCCTTCAGGGGTCGAGACAAGGAAAACAGATCAGCTGATCATGGTTTATTCAGTGGGACTCTGAATCACAACTGCCCAAAGAGCTGCACTGAAAATAGAATCAAAGAATAGAATATGCTGAGCTGGAAGGGACCCACAAGGATCATCGGTCCAAATGCCGCCCTGTCCCTGAGAGCATTGTCCAAATGCTCCTTGAGCTCTGGCAGCCTTGGTGCTGTGCCCACTGCCCTGGGGAGCCTGTTCAGTGCCCAACCACCCTCTGGGGGGAAGAACCTTTTCCTACTGTCCAACCTAAACCTCCCCTGGCACAGCTCAGCCACTCCTTAGAGTGTTCTTTAAAGGCTATTAATTCCTGTAACTGTGGCTAAATGCAATCCACGTGTGGTTATTCCTGAGTCAGAGCCGTATCCCACAGCAGTCCCTGACCATTCCTCTGTGTTTCCTGTCCTGTCCCTCCCTAAGGAGAGCCAAGGCCCCCTGTGTAACCCTCTCCCTCTCCCCAGACCTACGAGCCGGATGAGCTGACCAAAGAGATGGCCCACCTGGAAGGACTGATGAAGGACCTCAATGCCATCACCACGGCGTGACCACCTCCCCGGGACGTGACTCCAAACCGCTCCGCAAGTCGTGGGACTCAGCCTTGGAACGCAAGGAATTGTACAGAGGAAAAAAAAAAAAAAGGAAAAAAAAGAGGAAAAAAAAAAACAAACAACAAACCAGAAAGAGGGACAGCACATGAGAGCAATGTGGGAAGGAGAGGAACCAACCAGAGGGGACCTGTGTGTCACTGTCCTGCAGGGAAGTCTTGGCCCTGTGAATTCCAGTGCCCTGTGGGCCGGGCGGGATGGGACACACCAGGCTGGACTCCAGACACAAGGAAAGCAAACGGACTCGCCGTTAGTTTTGTTCTGGTCAGGTTTTGTCTCAGTGGTGTGATTGCCCTGCCTTTTCAGTGTTGGACATTGGCATTTATGTACAATTTTATTTGTGTTTTTATTTTATCTTTTTTTTATAAAAAGGAAAAAAATATTGTAATTAAAAAAAAAAAAAGGGAGAAACTGTTGTTTTCCACAGCCTAGGCTGAGGTTTGACTGCTTGTTCTATTGTGTATGGAAATTCATTGCCAGTGTGGGTTGTTCTGTTTTTGTTTTTTATTCTGCGTACAATTACGTCCCCTTCTGGCAGTTAATCCATGGCCTTTTGGGATGCTGCACTGCTCTTTGTAAGCTTTTTTTATTATTTTTATATTATAATTATTAAAAGCCTGACTTTCTCCTCTCATCACTGTGAGATTACCAGTCTGTTTGAATTGAAATGTAATTTGAAAGGCTTGTTTGTCGCTTTTTGTGCAGTTTCAATATTTTGAGTGGGGGGAAAAGTAGCTGGGGAAGGGGAGGGGGTCCAGGGGGAGGGGTCATTCCTGTTGTTTTCATGTCTTTCTCCAGTGACTGGAAAGACTGAAGAACACGAAGCATCTTCTGTAACGTCCTTCCTTGTCCCTTTAGCATCACTGTGTCTCTGGTCACTGAACTGCAGTGAGAGTCTCATTTAGAAACATTGCCAGAACTTCCTCCTGTAAATTGGGGTTCCTTATGCTTAGATGACACTACATGCAGCTTATTTTGGCAACTGTTTTGTTGTTGTTAGCTAAAGATGCATCATGAACCTTGCAAGTGCAGAGTGAGGGCTCAGCACAGGCCCCAGGGCTGGGGTGGAGCTCCCTGGGCTCCCAGAAGGAGGGAACTGTGGGCCCTTCCATCCCCACACACCACATCCTGCCTGTGGGAACGCTCCCTGCCCACAGCAGCACGTCCAGCCCCAGTGCAGTGTCTCCATCCCAGGCCACTCGAACAAGGGCCAGCTCTGGAGTATTCCCCAGAGACAGAAACAAGGCAAAAATGTATTTTTTTACACTTTGGAAAACCATGTAAAAAGAAAACCAGTATTAGTGACTCAGGTGCTGTTCACACATCTGTCTGGAAAGGAAGGGAAGGTCAAAGGGAAGGACAAGGGTTTTCCTTTTCTCCATGTGTGATTGCCTGGCTCTGCCCTTCCCTGGAAACGGGCTGTAGCTCAGTAAAGTAACCAAACCCACCCCCAGGTGCCTGATGAACTCGTGTGCAATTCCACTGCCAGAACAAAAGGAAACTCCAACTTACTGCTGGTTCAGAGGGGAATCTGTTCCTCCTGGGATTTGGGATCTCGGGGACAGGCAGGTCCAGGTGTTTTGGGGTCCCTGCTGTGGCTCTGCCAGGGCTGGGCCTGTGGGAGCAGCAGGAGGGAATGCTGGAACTGCTGCAGCTCCAGTAACAAACAGGAGTTCTGCTGCTTTTACTTTGTTCCCCACTGAACTGAACTAAAGCTTCTGGTCTCCAAGAGAGGGGAGAGCCATGGAATCACCTGGAGAGCAGCTGGGATGGTGCTGTAGTGTCACTTCCTTTCTTTTCCTGGACTCTGTGTTGTCATTTCTGGGACATTTCCTGCCTTTATTTATTCTTTGAGGGAGGGGAGGGAATCAAATTAATTGGGGCACTGTGGGCCACCTGGATAACTGATGTTTAGACTTTTAATCAGTACAATTCAGGGCAAAATAAGCTACAGAATATGTGTTGAAAGAATAAAAATGCACACCCTGGCCTGGAAGGAGGGTGTGAACCTTTTCCTTTGCCTATTTTTTACCTGTACCCAAAGAAATACCATCCTACAAACACAGTATTCCTGGCTGGGGGGGGGTCTTTGTGAATATTCCTTATGTATAACACCATGAATGTTAATATTGTCATTGAATTTGGGGAGGGGGAATATTTTTAATGATAAAACAACTGTTCAAAGTTGGTTTTTTAAGGTTAAACTGAAAAAAAAAAAGAAAAAACATTTATTCAATTCAGTGTACAATCTGTATTGCACTTTTTCACATTTTAATGCTACGTTTTCTTACATATCCTGTGATTTTAAATTTGGAACATTGTGTATCCTTGTAGTGTCATAGTCAAGCTGTTGAGTGACAGCTTCCCTCAGACATTTGGGGAAAAAAAGAACCAAACCTGTATATTGTTTTATGATTCTCATGTAGAATAATTTTGAGGGCTGCTGTAGACGTCGACCTTTCTGTACAATTTTTTTTTGCTTTTCTGTAGTATTTGCTGTATCCTCTATGGCTTTTTTTAATAACTTCATGTTTATTATTTGGTATTGGACATCCAATACACTTTTTTTAATCCAATCAAGTTCTGGGCTGCTTGGAGAGTTTGTTTAATTATTCCTAATCAATACAGGGACCAGGTTTGGAATTTTACTTGCCCTTTTTGTTGCTGTGGGTTGGTAGGTTGTGTCCTCCAGAGAAGGAAGAGGAAAATTGTTACTCTCCCTCAATCTTTGTGCAGACACTGAACATGTAACCTCTGCCTTCCTTCTATTTCAAGGGTAAAAAAATACCACCTTTTAATAAGCAAGTAGAGAAGGAAGGGGTTCACATCAGGGGAAGGACATTTAGTAGCCTTAGTAAACTGGTAAATAATGCAAAATAATACTATAATCATGGAATAGAGTGCTTTGTCTGTACCTTTTGAAGTGCAGCGATGGGTATCCGTGTTGCTCCCCTCGTGATGACTCCAGCCTCCTTCTCTCATACTGGGGACTCCCACTGGTCATCAGCCACTTTCCTGGTCACTCGTGTCCTTGGGAGCATCATCCTGACCCCTGCAAACAGGAATTATGCTCCTGCAGGCTTTACAGCCCTGCTCCTCTTGCTGTTCATCAGAGCCCTCTGTTACTCATTAAATTGTGCCCCCACACTGATGTCTCGGGTGGGAAGGGACTCCCAAATCCTCCTGAAGGGGAGCCAGGACCTGCAGCTGGGCAGGGATGTCACAGCCATGCCAGAGCTGGGGGCTGTGCAGGGATGTGTCCAGGGGAGGAGAAATGGGGAACAAAGGCATTGGGAGTGTCCCAAGGCACAGCCAGGACACAGACAGGCAGATTAAAACCCTGC